TTTTCCTTTTTTATTATCAGGGCTTACTGTAATTTTAATCATTTTTTACGTGTGAATGAGGTTATTATGCTTGTATTTTCTCCTAGTATATTTCGGATGGTGTGTATGTGTGTAAATGAGTCCTAATGGTTAGATAAGTGTAATGTAAGTTTTCTGGATAGGAATGTAGTAAGGTTACGATGTAATGATTTATGTGTTTGGTTTGATCAGGAACACTGTTCCTTAAGGGGCATTTGAACTCGTAAATAATGTTGGTTCATTGTAGTTTTGCAGGTAAGTGGTTATTTTTGAAGATAAATTTAAGATTTAATTTTTTGTGATTGATAATTTAATTTACTTATTCGAGTCAACTGGAGTTACGTTTTCTTTATGATATTTCTAAGTGAAAATTCATCTGGCTTATAGCTGACGTGTATTTGGCTTTTGTAGATGTTAATGTTATTGTTTTTGTATGTATCGTTATTAGTTACTTTGGAAAGAAATAATCTGGCGGTCGACGAGTTAGGGAAGTCATTGTTAACTAGTGTCTGTTTTTACATTATTGAAGTCATTAAGGAAAATTAGATGAGAAGGTAAATTCTCTTGTCTCTTTAGGAAAATTTTTATAACACCTATTTTATATCTAAGTCGGCATTGGCTCTTAAGATTAAGGTAGCAAGAGTTTCTGCTAGTGAGGTTTTTATATAATGAAGTGGTGAAAATGTTGTTACCTTATTCTACGAGAACGTCTAAGAACTCAGTTTATAGGTTAGGAATAGAGATTTTTTTTTCAGATGTGGTTTTGAAATTATCTAAAAATTAAAAAAAATAAAAATCGCCCTTGATAATGGCTAGAAGAATAACTGAAAGCACTTAGATAGGCAGAACTTTTGGACGGTTTTACACACTTTGTGTCCAGAAAAGAAAATGGTTGTTCGAACACAAGAAAAAAATTAAATGAAAAGCTTAATCGCAGTACTTTTGTTAGTTATCTTTAAAGAAACATGTATAAAAGGGATTGTTGCCTAAATAACACACACACACACACACACACACACACACACACACACACTATATATATATATATATATATATATATATATATATATATATATATATATACTCGCATACATACAAAAGGAGACATTGACAGACGCGTTTTTTTATTGAGTCTCTCCACTGAGTTTAACCTTAATCAAAATCTTTTCCTATCTTAAATTCTCTCTATACATGATTAAATTTATTTCTCTTTTTCTTTCATTTTTACTTCTGTTGTTGTTTTAATATCTGTCTCTGTCTCTCTTTCTCTCTCTCTCTCGCTTTCTCAGAAGAAAGAGAATGAGAGAAAAAGAATAGTGTTTTTTTTCTCTCCTTCCCTCACACTTTCTCTCTAGCATCATGGCGACTGTGTGCTCTGAAGCGATGAATTATTTAGATGAGAAATTATTTGCCGAAAACTCCACGCATGCGCAAGGCTCTCTGCTTCCTTGGCTGAAATGCGCACGCGCGACTTTGTCCGTGTCAACGCTTGCGTGAAAAAAGAAAAGAAAAAAGTAGAATAAAAATTGTCTGTGATGAACGTACGTCTTCCTCGGTATCTGAGTCGATTTCTTCGAGATGATGGAGTCGGGTCAGGGTTTGCCGTCTCATTTTCGGATGCACAAGGCGTGAATCTATCAAATTACAAAACAATACCAGACAAATTGCCTTTCCCCTTTTACACCTCTGTGTTTATACTCCCACCTTGTGTTATTTTTTTCTTGTGGTGTTGCTTTCGCTTTTACTACCTTTAAACAATGTATCGGCTGCTTCTTCCAGTGTAATGAGAAAATGTCGACACATTCATTCCTCCTCCAAAACATCGCCAGACATTTGCAAACATCGAAGTACCGTCAAAAACTCTATTATTTCACAGAAAAAAAATTGAAAATTCTTCCGTTACCGAGAAGTCTCTACGTTTCATTACTGATATATCACGATTTTAGCAACATTATATAAAATTTGGTTTTAATATAATGGTTGAAAAAGGGGAATTAATAATGGCACCAAGATATAATTAAATTTTCTGTCAAATCTTTAGTTTGTAATATTATTTGTATTTATTTATTTTTGGATGGAATATTGTAATTATTAATTTTTGTCTAATATTTCTTTCATTTTCATTTAAGATGCCGTTAACTGCAAAGAAATGAGATAATTGAACATAGAATAGGCTGTGCTAGAGGTAGTTTAATCCATGCCCACAAATTAATACAAAAGCAAAGCATTAACCCAGACACTCGAGCTATTATGATTTTTAAAGCGTAGCTTAGATGTGACACAGGGCCGAATGTATTAGTGGTACTTGATCTAGCGAGACAAGCAACCATTACATCATGTCGAGGTACACTCGAGGTATGTTCTTATGTTTCCTTGACAGATCAAGACTTTCATATGGATGTCACTCATAGCGCCAAATTCGCTCAGAAATATCGAAACTGCATGCCGCATAGAATCACTCAGCTCAATAGTTAAACTGTCTTTGAGCGAATGGTAACCTGTGGTTCTTAGCGAGGATAAAACTTAGTCGAATGTTGTGGACTTTTATCGCTGATTCACAAACAAAGAATTGTACCAAATAATAGGGTATCTGTCTATATTTCTGAGATGAGGCATTGTAATAATTTACATTTTTCGGACGGTTGACCTCATCATGTTCACGACGTTTTGGCCGTGCGCGTGAAAATCTAGTCACGGCTTGAGCCATCCTTTTATAGGATTTAACGTTGGTAAACGTTTTTTGGTCCATCTAAGTAATCTAGACTGGTAGGTTTGCTTTCAGTTCCTTCCTTCCATTTTGTTTCATTATTGCCTTTTTTTCTTTATTGGAGACTATATCTGTTTAGGCTCTGAAAAGTTGTCAGTTGATTCCAACAACAGACTGCTTTTCTTTTAACACACACACACACACACACACACACACACACACACACACACACATATATATATATATATATATATATATATATATATATATATATATATATATATGCGGAGGGTCTTTGGGGACCTTGTGGCATGTAGTGCACCAGGTCTCTGTATTCGGCCCTTCAAAAAGTGTGGATGGTTCTGCACAAAACCTTCACCACTATAATCAAATCATATGTGCTGATGTCTAGCTGTCGGTTTCCTGGGAACTGATCTGATTGACCCTCATACGTCGAAAAAAAGAGTGCAGAAAAGAAACAACGTTGGTCAGTGTATATATCCTGGGGAACCTCCGCATTAATGTGAAAATAATCTAGATTGGCCGTATCAAACATAGCATTACATGATCAGGTGGGTTAAGTAAAATATTCGGACAGATAAATAAATATATGTGTTTGTGTGGGTGTGTGTTTCTGAGAGAGAGCGGGGAGAGAGGGAGAGAGCGAAAAAGAGGGATGGGGAGAGAGAGAGAGAGAGAGAGAGAGAGATAGAAAGTTCGGTAGGGGTGCTGAGAGAGAAAATCATACGACGTTTTTTTTTTTTTTAATTATGTTGAGGCCTAACCTAACCTTTTCTAACGTAAACTTTCTAAATATCTAAAAACAAACTCCTGATTTTCTCAAAAAAAAAAAAAAAAAAAAAAAAAATCCCCGAAAAATTCGTTGAAGTGTTTAGCTGCAGTAATTTAATAATTACAGCTTTTTTTTGTATAATAAAAAGTAAATGAGAAAAATATCTGATCTTTAACACTGAATTATTTTTAAACTCGTTGTATTTGCCTCATTGGTTCTTTGGTTATTTTGTGTATTCTATTCTTGTAAATCGACCCTATAAGCGAGGCATCTTCACGCAGTGTGTCTGTAGAATTGGACACAGATCTGAAGACAATGTCACGGGTGGTTCTAATCAGACAAATGATCTATTAAACGCATCTTGTGCCTTGAAGGGAAAGAACAAAGTGGAGGAATTAATCACAATTTGAATTGTACGTATTTTTAGACGTATTTTTGGCGAACAATTCTAAAAATTTAACAGAGAAGGCCAACAACTTTATAACCTTCTAGCTTTTGAAAGTTCAGAAAATAATTTCCCGCATGTATATAACGCAATATCTATCTATCTATCTATCTATCTATCTATCTATCTATCTATCATAGCAGACTGAGATAATATAGATATATTATATAAGCTAGCTAGCTTATCTCAGTCTACTTCTATCTATCTATCTATCTATCTATCTATCTATCTATCTATCTATCTATCTATCTATTTATCTATCTATCATAGCAGCAGACTGGGATAATATAGATATATAAGCTAGCTAGCTTATCTCAGTCTACTTCTATCTATCTATCTATCTATCTATCTATCTATCTATCATCTGATCTCATCTCAGTCTGCTTCTATCTGTATCTATCTCTGCTTCTATCTATCTATCTATCTATCTATCTATCTATCTATCTATCTATCTATCTATCTATGTCTCTTCGTATCTATCTATCGTTACACACATATACACACACGTTTCTTTATGTGTGTATCTATCGTTACACACATACGTGTATGTGTTTGTGTGTGCAGTAACAAACAAGGTTAGATAAAAAATAATTTTATGATACACTAAAATTTATAAATACAACTGTGTTTTCATTTCTCCCGCCCCCCGCCCCTCTCTCTCTTTCTACCTGCGTGCCTACACGTAACGCTTTCCAATAATTACAAAGACATGGCCCAGTTGATAAAAAGCGTTGGTTGAAGTAATCCAGTGCATTGTCTCAAAGACGTGTGAGTCCAATACCTGGCCGCAGCAAAAGCGGGGGGCGGGGGTTTGTTGATTGGAGATTCGAGTTACTAAAGGGAAATAAATGAAACTGAGATATCCGGAAAATGCAGGGCATGCGAAACGAGAACAATCTACACCAGTGGACTAAATAAAAGGTTGATTCGAAATTCCAATGTATATCGTCTGAAGAAGGCCGGAGCGTACAACTGCCGAAACGTCCTGAATACGGCAATTAAGATGAAGACAAATAGTCGAAAAATTTTTAAAAGTTTAAATAGTTACAATATCTCATTTCAGAAATATAGACAGATTCTTAAGAAAGCCGGAGCGTACAACGGCCGAAACTTCGTAAATATGGTTCGACAGTCCGAACAATGGAAATAGTGTAAATAATTACAATACATCGCCTCAAAAATATGGATAGATACTGAAGAAGGCGGGGGCGTACAACCATGTAAAACATTTAAATAATTACAATACCACATCTCAGAAATATCGACCGATCCTGAAGAAGGCCTGAGCATACAACGGCCGAAACGTCGTGAATAAAACGTCAATAAAAATGAGGTCAACAGTTTGAACAATGTAAATAGTCTTAATTTGATGTAGTATAAATAGAATTTTTGTTATTTTTTTCTTAACTAATAACGACAAATAAAACTCTATAATTTATTCAAGTCCGATTTTTTTTCATTAGCTATTTCCTTGTACTTGCGAAAATATTAGAAACTTAAATATTGCTGCGTGTTTTGGCTACTTTCACCCTTCTGTAATGATTATTGATTTAAAAACGATGATTAGAATTGTAATAAAACCTAAACATATGAAAGGGAATTTATATATTTTCTTTCTTCTTGAGAATTGCCGACAAAAATAATAAACACTATTTATTTATTAGATTACCAATTTACATTATTTACCTGAGATATCTGTTTCATCAAAAGTTAATTCTATTTTTTCACAGTTTTCGTTATTTTAACGACAGGAGAATATTTGATTTCGAGTGTTATGATAACATTCAATAAGATATAGAAAATGGCAATCGTGGGCCTTCGTTGCCTGTACAAAAACGGAGTATCAAAAGGACGGTTTTTTCCTTGACGTCGCTATTATTTTCACAAAATTTCGGCCATGTTTATTGTTTTAAAAAAACGTTGATTAGAATATTAATAAAACCTAAACATATGAAAGTGAATTTGTTCAAAATTGTTGACAAAAATAATAAACACTGTTTATTAGATTGTTTATTTACACTATTCATTTATTATATATTTTGCTGGTGCTAATCGAATCGAACTTTATAAAATGGTAAATAATAAGCATTTACTTATAGTTGGTTTGCATAATTTAATACTATATTAAATGTTTATAGATTTATGAATAAAATAATGTTTCCACATTTATTTCTTTATAAACTGGTAAATGGTAAATATTACATTAGTTTTAATCCAACAGCATTATTTTTTTAGAATGTTGTAAATATAAAATTATTCTTGTAAATAAACAATCTAATAAATAAATAGTGTTTAATGTTTTTCTTCTAAATTCTCGAGAAAAAAAAGGATTAACTCACTTTCATTATATATTTAGGTTTTATTACAATTCCGAACATCACTTTTTAAAACAATAAACATTGCAGCGGAGTGAAGGTAGTTAAAATAATAGCGGTGTCAACGGTAAAACTGTCCTTTTGACATTCCATTTTATTTTCGAGTACGTATGGCCAAGTTAGCCAATTTTTATATCTATTATTATACTACAAACATTTTTTTTATTTTAAATCCACATTTCTTTTTTGCTCTGGATGGCTGGCTAACAGACCAATGTCATGGGTTGTTTTGCCAAAAATCACTGCGACAGATATACAGATAATTTTAGTTCGGTCTTTGAGAATAAAACAGTAACACAGTCCATAATCTCAATTTTTGGCACCAGTTAATCTGATGCGATACCGGTATTTGAATTGCCGATATAGAAGGGGATACCAGAAAATAAGCAAAAGTGAAATTCTGGGGTTTGATAACCTGTTTTGACGGAGGACGGTAGGTGCGATGATGAGATCCGAAGACGGATTGGGATGACCAAGGATGCAGTCCAAAAGCTGGGCAGAGTACTGCGAGACAGGAGGATTTCTTTGGTGACAAAGAAATGAGTACTGAACTGCTACGTGACATCTGTCCTCCTATACAGCAGCGAATGTTGGACGGTCTCCTCAAAGATGAAGAAGAGACTCGAGGCGACGGAAATGAGTTTCTACAGAATGATGCTAAGGATATCATGGAGCCTTCGTGTGAGCAACGATGAGGTCTTGGAGAAGCTGCAAACAAGGAGGAGGCATATACTTAACATAAGGAAGAGCCAGCTGAAATTTCTGCGACACGTAAAGAAAAAGGAAGGCCTGGAGAATCTGATACTCACAGGTCGGATAGTGGGAAAAAGAGACAAGGGAAAGCAACGCATGACCTACCTGGCTGGCTTAAGCAAGTGGATGGCAGAACGTGGTCTGTGGGAGGTGGCAGAGGCATGAAACTTATTGAGAGCCACAAGGGATAGAGGGAAGTGGAGGGCCATGCTCGCCTACGTCCTGAAAGGACACGGCACATAAAAAGAAAGAAAAGATATGCGACGGTAATTATCGGATATGAGTTTCAGAATTTACGCAAAAATGTAATCACTTGTGACGGAAACAAAGACGGCTTTAGAGTTGGTGGAAGAATTGCACACTTTGTTCTTACCGTGGATAAGGTAAATATACCCTGGTTATTTTCCAGTATACCTGTGAATGTCCGTCTTGTTGCTACCAAATTTCGGCGTTTAAATAGAGATGATCAGGCGTTCATTGAGAGACACATTTCTCAGTTAGACTCAGATAACATCACTGAACCTTGCTACTCAATGGAGAGCCCAGTTGGTTGCTGCGAAAGACCTCACCAATAAACGGCTCTGTGTAGATTATTCCCAAACGGTCAATCTATATACACAGTTGGGTGCCTACCCTATGCCTAGGATCGATGATATGATAAACAGTCTGGCAAAGTACAAATTATTTTCGACTTTTGACCTGAAGAGCCCCTATCGTCAGATGGCGATAAATGATATTCATCGACTGAAAAGTTTAAGGAAACGAAATTGTGGATACAATTAAGTTTATAACGTGTTTCGGCTTTATTGACGGTGAGGCTTGTGATAAGTTACGTTCTGGGTGGCTCTGTACTGCTGTGAACTGCCGAAAAGAATGGACTGAAAGTGCGTAACCAGTAATTGTTAATATATAATGAAATTAGTGTTTTCTTATTGAAAAATACCTCTGTCTAAAAGTGTTATTCTGCTCCCTGTACCCAAACAAGCAGAAGGCATGACATTCAGAGTGAACCTTGTAAAATCTAAAACGCACATCTACACAAAAAGCGAGTCACAAGACAATAATAAAAGCACAAACGATATTTTTACTAAGTTAAGGAGTATATATAAAAAGAAATTTACTTACCCAAGCTCAATGGGCACACCTCCCTGAAAAATATAAAAGCAAATAAGTCAATAAAATAGACAAGAATGAGTAGGAATGGTGAGCAACAAAGAACTGTGCAAACAAATTAGATTTGAACATGAAGACAAACAGTAGCTGTAAAAAGTAGAACCTGTCTTAGAGAATAAGCGTCTAAAATAATTGGAACTGAGATGATACCTCTAATCCAAGCAAGAAGTGGGACTTTAGACATTTTAAATGAAGAAAATAATTTATAAGTTTTTGGTTGTTGCAATGTTAGCAGGTCATGCTGTGAGACTGAAAAAAAGGAGGAGAATAGAAAATATCAAAATCTTGATAGAAAATGTTTATAAAAATAACGAAATCTTGAAATACCGATCCATTGGATTCCCTCCCTATTGTCCGCACTTACTCCGACTTAATTTTTTTTTTTAAAGAAGGACTACAATAGAGCCTTTTGTGAGAAGTCGCATTTTGAGAAGAGATCTATTTTCTTGAAAGCTTAGGGCGAAGCTGATTGTAAACGGGAGTGAGACAGAAGATGCTATTCGTTTGTGAGCGAAACACAGTCAACTGGGGTGATGTTTCAAATAACCAGAAGTGTTTTCTTATTTGATGTCAACGGATAATAAGAAGAATCTAAATCTGTGCAATAAATCAACCAGCTAGGAATCGACCGATAAAATATAAGCGGTAATGAAAACACTAGATACAACACGATTGTAACAAATATTATTAGGACGCTTGGAAATGTCAAGAAATGTAATTAGTTATAAAAAAAAAATCGGTGAGAACTGTCAGATTATTGAAATAATGATGGCTTTTTTCCCCATTTTCAGGGATCGAAACATATTTTTCTGATAGTTTTTTTTTTTTTAAGACAATATTTAACAAATAAATTTATATTTTGTAGACGAGGTAAAACAACCTATTCAGTGTTCCTTTATACACCTGGTGAACATAAAAGCTTTATTCCAATTTAGACGATATATTTGTCATTAAATTTCACCTACTACAAGCTCCAAGCGCCACTCAAAGTAGAGGGTTATTGAATGTGTGTGTGATGTGAAAGTAAGTAGAACAAAATAGCAAGTGAAGATTACGAGGATATGGACGGCAGATAAAAACTGATGCTAGAATAGAAGAGGTTAAGATTATAGTGTTCCGAGAAGCATCCCCACGAGAGTCTGTTCATAGCTGTTCATGTAAAGACAACCGTCTCAGTGAAACATTCTGATTACCTGTGTAACAGGTAGGGGATGAGGCTGATTCAACACTGTAGAAGTAATAAGGATGGTTATGGCTGTAACGGTCTGAGATAATGGCACAAAAGAATGAAATTCCTCGGAAGATTTGCTATGGAAATAGCGATCGTGTAGCGACAGAATTGCGAGTTTTCGACTGTTGGAGAGGGGCTGTAGATTGGAAAACAATTCAACCCCTATAAGCAACGGTAACAATTTTACTGCACAGAACACATATCCAATTTACATTTAATATTACATTATTATGAACTTAGGCTAAAACATAAGTACTATTCTTCAAATGTCTTTTGAGTACATATTGTATATATATATATATATATATATATATATATATATATATATATATATATATAATTTTATATATATATATATTTGGTTGGATTGATGTGAGTTTGTGACCCTGGGTTTCACGCTTTTGCGATCGTCAGACAAACTGATTAATTTTTTTTTTAATTTTGGGTTTATGTAGATTGCGTGTATTGGTGTTATTATGGGAGTGGGGGGAATCGTCGTCGTGAAGTCATCGTGCTAACGCAAACATAGATGCATGTCCGTACACCCGATGAGGTACGCAGACACACATACACACTTGCTCGTCCGCCGAGACTCATACATGTATAAACATATGTGGACAGATTTGACATATGTATGTATATGGGTGGTGTTGTGTCTATACATACGCATTTGTATGATGAAATTCAAAGATTGGAAGTGTAGCGAAAATCTCTCGTGAATGTCCCGTGAATGTATACATGACAAAAATAAGAGCATTTTTCTATTTTTTCACTGAATAATATTTCCTCGCATGTATGGATTGATGTGAGTTTGCGACCCTGGTACTGCGCATATGATATATAAATAATTAATATATATATATATATATATATATATATATATATATATATATATATATATATATATATACACTTTTCACACACACACACACACACACACACACATATATATATATATATATATTTAATTCTTTAAGCACCCTTGCGGAGTATAGAGCCAGAGTTTTACCACAATGGGACACATAATGAGGAAAGTAGTCTTGGAGAATTTAATACTTACAGGTATATTGAAAACAAACTGGACAAAGGGAAATAGCGAATAACCAAGATAACAAGCTTGTGTTAATGGATGGCAGAATAGGGAACGGGAGATATAGAGAAAGGAGAAGAGCTAAAACTGTTATTAAGTTAGAGAGAGTCATGATTGCCGGCGTTATGGACACGGCACGTAGAAGAACATCTATAAATGCGAAAAAAAAAAGGGAAGAAAGTTCTTGTACTCATTTCTCCAACTTAGCGACAGCAGTTCCCTTGATCACTTGACCTCGCAGAAAATTCATTCTTCATGATGAAATAATAATAAAAAAAGACATGACCTTTTTTTAGCCACTATCTTAACAGACGCCGTACTTTTTGACGCCTTTGTTTGATTAATGAAATCTAAAATGGAAAACCTTTTAAGAGCAGTGGGGCCAATCTTAACAACATAAGATATGTAAATGACACTGTTGATGGTAGGAACAGAAGGAAACTAGCGGAAAGAGAGTAGAAAGGACTCACTGTCAATTGTAAATAAATAGTAAGTATGGTTGCCAGCAAGATAAAAAGCCTAACGAAGATGAGAACAAAAAAGTGAAATATGAACATAAAAGAAATGCAATGTTTCTTCTCAATTTTAATATTTGCTTTCATTTTGAAGACTGTTTTATTTTTGTAGGTAGCGCGACTACGTTGATTAAGTGAGCTTTAAATATCCGCACTATTAAATACATATTTGTTAATTGTTTAAATAAACTATGATACAACGAGTACAGGTCCTGAATAAGATGATAAACTACATCCGATAGCAAGGCTTCTGTTCAGGAGGTTTTAAGGAGCGTGAAACCACGACTTAATTGCTGGTGTTCCCAGGTCCACCCTGATCCAGGGTGGTAGCACCTGTTAGGGTCCCAGCTATTGGCAAATATTTAACCCCACAAAAACTGGGGTCCAAACACTATGAAAGTGTAAAAATAGGTTTTAATACCAGCAATACCTTTTTGTAAAATATTATTATTAGCAATGAATTTTTGAAGGAAATATTATTGTCAGCAATACATTATTACCAGCAATACATTCTTGAGGAAAAATATTACCAGCAATACGTTTTTGGAAAATTATTATCAGCAATAAAAATCTCGTCGGTATTAAATAACCCATTGATGTTGATATGCCGGTAATCAAAACAAAACAAACAAAAAGCAAACATCGAGTATAAAATTTATTATTTTATCAATTCTAATGTTTACATTAATTATAATAGTGTTGTGGTAGGATCCACCTAATTTGCATAGTGGAGTACCGACCATATAAATATGGTTGGTACCGGGAAGAGAAGGGGAGGAATCAAGAGATTCAATCCAGAGACTCTGCCCGACTGCGACTAAGTCAACACATTCTCCAGGAACGGTCTTCACAGGAATATACAAAAGACTATATGTAAATATTGTGTACACTTTCTTGTTTCAATACATTTTGTTCTTAAGTACATTTTGTGTTGCATTATTATTCCATGCATTAGTCAAGTTTCAACAAATAGTATTTTCTAATGGCGAAAATAAGAATTTATAATAAAATTATATTGCTCTATATTTTAATAAAGGTAAGAAATCTCTAAGAACCAAAGGTTTATTGAATATGAAATAATATGAGAAAAAGAAAACATAGTATTATGAATAGAAAAAGGGTAAAAGGACAGAAAAAAAAGACAAAGAAAAGAAAAAAAAAACAGAAAATAATGATTAATATTGCTTTTAAATTTTTAGAAGATCAAACGATAAATGAAAAGCAAAATCTGGAGTAAAATTCCCCAAGCGAGAAGTGCGAGAAAATAATATGTTACCATAGAACTTAAAGTAACATTTATAACGTTACATCATTACGAAATGAGACCTAGCTGCCTATCTAGTGCTGCGCTTAAATTCGTAATGTCGAGGTTGCAAAAAGGAAAAGCTCATTGGAACAATTACTATGAAAATATTTATAGAAAAAGGCACAGAGAAGCTACATTACTGCCGTGGGAAAGTGACTGAAGTTGAGATGCCAGGTCAGGCCCGATAATATTGCAGATTCTTTTTTTGGATTTTATCAAGAAACTTTAAATAGATAGCATAAAAAAAAGACAAGATATGACAACAATATTCAATGCATGGACAAATGGTCAGCTTATAAATGTGTAAGTTTCTGACAAGAGATACGACATCGTAAACCAAAATTCTTAGCAGCAGACCGAGTAATTCATTCAATATAAACATTCCACTTTAGGTCAGCGAAAATGCAAAGAGTCACTATCCTGAAGGCTAGCATCAACCATGATGTTGGAAAAGAAATTCTTTCTCTAAGATGATTAAAAGAGGGTAGTTTCGTTTTGGTGGTATTAAAATTGACCATCACTGCTTACAATAGATTAGATTTTAGATTTTTTTTACGATATAATTTTATTAAAAAAGTTTTTACTTAAGAAATGCATTGCAAGTTAATCCTATTATATCTACCGTTAAATCCGGTAATAATTCTTTTACGTGCCGTGTTCCTTCGGGACGTGGTCGGTTTTGGCTTTCCACAACTCCTTGTCCGTTGTAGCAGTTAATAAGTTTTGATTTTTCACTGTTCTGCCATCCATTTCCATAAGCACGTTAAGTAGTTCACTCATTGTCCAACTTGTTTTCAATATGTCTATGAGTGTTAAATTTTCAAAGACTACTTTCCTCGTTATGTGTTCGAGAAATTTCAAAAATTAGAATAAAAATACGCTATTAATTTTAGATGTATAAATATAATCCACCTGCTCCCACCGTACTCTAAATAAGGGACGGACAGGAATACATGAAACGTTTCTAACTCTAATGCATATTTTAAAGAAATTAAATTTGTAGTAACATTTTATTGAACTGGAATATTAACAAATAACGTCTTCAATATGATTTCCATCATTTGTGATGCAGAGATTAATGCGCTTTGGAAAATTCACATGAAATCGATACAATAACTCCACATTGCCGTCGAGTTTATCACATTAATTCTTTATGCGTTCAATCAAGTGTGTTGCATTTGTGATTTTCATTGAGTACACCTTCTCTTATAGCATGCTCTAGAAAAAAGATGTTAATTCTTTCTACTTTCGACAAAACCATGTTTAATCTGTGGAGGTAAAAAAAAAATTCCTTAACCTAATAACGGCTGTAATCGAAGATTCTACAGGGTTTCTCTAAAGTTTGAACACATTGGCAAAAATGCAAATTTTCAAGAAATTAAATTTTCAACATTTTAATAAATTGGAATATTAGCAAATAACAACTTCAATATGATTTTTATCGTTTGTGGTGCAAGGATTGGTGCGCTTTGCAAGATTCACGTGTACTCGATCTAATAACTCCAATTTGCCGTCGATTTTAGCAACACACACTTTTTATACGTTCAGTCAAGTGCGTTGCATCTGTGATTTTCATTGAGTACACCTTCTCCTATTGTCTACCTCAGACAAAACCATGTTTAATCTGTTAATAATATTTCCTATACGTCCAGAATTTAGGGATATCCTATGTTTTTGGAATAAAGAGTTATCGTTATTTACATTATTTAAAGTCAGATTAATGTCATCATTTTCGTTGTCTTAACATTTTTTCTCTGTTACAAAATCTACAAGTCATGACCAACGCAACACTTTTGGAACGCCTTTCAACGAATGAACATAGCGTAAGTTTATTTTCATTTTTTATCCGAATAAGTCAGAAAATGTATTTCTATCTTGATGAAGTTATATGAACAGGACGCGTCACGCTCCAATCCAAATAGACAGCTGACATCTGCAGGGAGTGTTAGTAGGTGAAGCGATATAGCCACGGATGTTAGTCTGGCGATATCTTACGTAACTTTTCATTGAAGAAAAGCCGAAATGCATATGTGTATTTACAGAGATAGATAATTTTGTGATAAGAGCCATCTGATCTTACTATCATGAATGGATGAGTCCATTCATCATAAGTATCTTGGTAATTGTCTGGAAAAAAGAAGATAATACATTATAGTAACTTTTTTAGCTGAGTATTGATTGAATACTGCTATAACCGATTGACTCTGTTGTATGCTACCAGACCCCACATTACAACAGATTAATTGTTTGTTTTGTTTTGTTTGTTTCGTTTCTTTTTTTTTTTAAATTTGCAGTATACTTATATCAAAAGAGAAGTCTCTTCTTATGTACGAGAGAAATGTTTGTCAGGGATGTGGACTGGGTGCCAAGGATGTGAGAGAGATGCAACCTGTGTGCCAAGAGGTAGGTAGCAAGAAAACGTTAAAAAAAAAAAGGAAGATAAAATGAATAGTGTTTTATTTAGGAACATTTTACTTTTATTTGTCGATATTTACTGGTATACGTTATGTGAAAAGGGAAAAATAATCTACGGTCTAAGGACAAAAATATTTCAAAATTCGACTTAATCGCTTCTAGAATACTGTCATTAATCTTTTTTCTTTTTTTTAATGTCAAGTCCTTTCATGTCGTAGGCGATGATAGTTCTCCATGGTTTCCTTTTCCACTATCTGTAAATTGTCATGCATTCTTGGGAATGACAGGTAAGTGGTTTCCGGTTGCTTTATCCTGAATTAGGAATTCTTTTTTTTTTTTTCTTTTTTTTTTTTTTCAGACTACTTAACACCCAAATCAAAAGTGCCTACTCTGCTACCTAACCCAAGTAAAATGAGGCATTCATGCTTTTCCCAAACGTATTTGCGTGAGCGGGAATGTAACAACTTATACCGGAATTTGAACTCGAAACCTCGATTTCAGCTTCTGCTCCGCTAACAGTTACACTATCCGCGCATCAAATAATCCGTGCATTAAATAATAGTGTGAATTTAATAATCGATACATGGAGGAATTCTTCAATAATCACTATCAGCAGGAATTGTAATATCTATTTTGTTAACGAGATGGTATGAATATAACTTTATGGAAATACAGTTATGAAAAAAAAAAGAAGAAAAACAAACACGTAGACAGTTGACAGACATAATGATTGTTAACACGTCTCTTGGATGAATGAGGCCAATTTAGATAATTAGACAAAATTTGGATATTTGTAATTTTATGCCCATTTGGAGATCCGTACTATGAGGTAGGAAAAACGTTTCTTCAGCAGTCATTACTTCATGGACAAAGACGAAAAAAATACATGGCACACACACACACACACACTATGCACGCACACACACACACACACACACACACACACACACATATATATATATATATATATATATATATATATATATATATATATATATGCGTAGTTCGTATTAGTGAAGTATCCAAAGAGACAGATATAAATAGGAATTTACTGAGAGGAATTGAGAAAAATGAATAAATGACTGAATTTAAATCAGAAAAAAAATAAAATTGGAAAGTGAATGCAAGAAGTCAAAGGAAGTTTAAAGCAAGTCAGTGGTAAAAAAAAAAAAAACGTAAACTGAAGAACAAAGAAAGAAGATGTGCGGATAAAGGAAGAAAGAAAGAAAGAAAGAAAGAAAGAAAGAAAGAAAGAAAGAAAGAAAAGATTGAAGAGGTGCGGACAGAGTCAGAAGCAAAATGAGAAAGAAAGAAAGATAGAAACCAAGAAAGAAAGATTATAGAAAGAAAGAAAGAAAGAAAGAAAGAAAGAAAGAAAGAAAGAAAGAAAAGATCGAAGAGGTGCGGGTAAAGTCAGAAGCAAATTGAGAAAGAAAGAAGGAAAGAAAAAAAGAAAGAAACCAAGAAAGAAAGATTATAGATAGATAAAAAAAAATAGAAAGAATGTCAAAGGATGGAGAAAGAAAGAAAGAAACCAAAAAAGAAAGACTATAGATAGTGAAAAAGAAAGTATAACAAAGGATGAAGAAAGAAAGAAAGAAAGAAAGAAAGAAAGAAAGAAAGAAACAAGGAAAGAAAGATTATAGATAGAGAAAAACAATGATGAAAAAAGGATGAAGAAAAAAGAAAGATAGAAAGAAAGATCATCTAAACAGAGAGAAAAAAAAAGAATGACACAGGACGGAAAAAGAATGGAAGGAGGAAAGAAAAATGGCGGATTATACATAGAGCTAGAAAAGGACAAATAAAAACCAAAAAATACAAGTTAAAAAAAAAATAAAGAAAGAGAAAAAGAAAGAATTCCAAAGGGTGCAGAAAGAAAGGAAGAACAAACGAAAGAAAGAAAGAAAGAAAGAAAGAAGAAAAAAAGAAAACAAATATAGCCATAATATTAAAACGGTAAAGAAAAACAAAGAAATATCTGAGTTGTGAAACATTGAAGAAAGAGAAAAAAAGAAAGAATCACAAAGATTGAAGAAAGAAAAAAGAAAGAAAGAAGGAGTGTAGGCAAAAGGTGGGTTGAAGGTAATTAATGCAGCTTGTCCTCTGGTAATTGTAAAGAATGAAGCAAGACCGATTGGCGTGATCAATTATCAATAACATCTAATTGGCAGCGATCCGGCGAAAAGTGGGAAGGGGTATGGCAAGGAGATGGGCGAGGACAACAACAATAACAACAACAACAATACAAAATGAAACAGCGATAAGAACAAAGAGATATGGGCGTCGGTGAAGTAATATTTGTCGTTATGGTCGTCGTGGTTGACGCAGTGATCGTTCTTATAGACAAAAAAAAAAGAAAGAAGTGAATGAATGAACAAATGAATGAATGATTGGATAGATGGCTGGATGGATGGAAGGGTTTTATGAATGAATAGGGTCATCAATGTTATTGGTGTTAAGAAGTGATTTACTTTCTTACCGTCTTTGGCGGGTGTCTCAGGTTGGAGCGAAAGGACGGAATGTCGAGAGCGGAAATGAAATTAAGTAGAAAAAGAAGGGACAATTATGAGAGTTACAGACGAAGAGAGGAGGGAGGAGAAAAAGGCTAAGAAGAGAGAGAGAGAGAGAGAAAGAGAGAGAGAGAGGCGAAAAGTCTAAGAAGACAGAGAGAGTAGAAATGTCAAATTCCAATCAAATTAGAATCGAAAAAGAAGAGATTACGGCGGAGAATATGGACGAATAGAAAAAAGTAATAAGGAAAGAGAGAAAAGCGAGAGACAAAATGCAAAGGAGGAGAAAAGAAATAAAAAGAAAATAAGGCAGAAAAAGAGGAGGAAGAAGAGAAAATGAAAAGATTAAAGACTAAAGAAGAAAGGAGAAAAAAGCGTAAAAAATGAAGGGTGGGAGGAGAAAGAGAAAGAGGGAACGACAAAGTAAAAAAAGAGAGAATAAATGAAGAGTAAAGAAGAAAAAGCCTAAAAATGAATGGTGGGAGGAGAAAGAGGAAACGATAAAGCGAAAGAGAGAGAATAAATGAAGAGGAAAGAAGGAAAAGCGTCAAAAATGAAGGGTGGGAGGAGAAAGAGGAAACGATAAAGCGAAAGAGAGAGAATAAATGAAGAGGAAAGAAGGAAAAGCGTCAAAAGTGAAGGGTGGAGGAGAAAGAGGAAACAATAAAGGAAAAAGAGAGAATAATTGAAGAGGAAAGAAGGAAAAGGTCAAAAGTGAATGGTGGGAGGAGAAAGAGGAAACGATAAAGGAGAGAGAGAGAATAAATGAAGAGGAAAGAAGGAAAAAGCGTCAAAAGTGAATGGTGGGAGGAGAAAGAGGAAACGATAAAGGAAAGAGAGAGAATAAATGAAGAGGAAAGAAGGAAAAGGTCAAAAGTGAAGGTGGGAGGAGAAAGGAAACGATAAAGGAAAGAGAGAGAATAAATGAAGAGGAAAGAAGGAAAAGGTCAAAAGTGAAGGGTGGGAGGAGAAAGAGGAAACGATAAAGCGAAAGAGAGAGAATAAATGAAGAGGAAAGAAGGAAAAGGTCAAAAGTGAAGGGTGGGAGGAAAGAGGAAACGATAAAGGAGAGAGAGAGAATAAAATGAAGAGGAAAGAAGGAAAAGCGTCAAAAGTGAAGGGTGGGAGGAGAAAGGGGAAACGATAAAGCGAAAGAGAGAGAATAAATGAAGAGGAAAGAAGGAAAAGCGTCAAAAGTGAAGGGTGGGAGGAGAAATAGGAAACGATAAAGCGAAAGAGAGAGAATAAATGAAGAGGAAAGAAGAAAAAGCCTAAAAATGAATGGTGGGAGGAGAAAGAGGAAACGATAAAGCGAAAGAGAGAGAATAAATGAAGAGGAAAGAAGGAAAAGCGTCAAAAGTGAAGGGTGGGAGGAGAAAGAGGAAACGATAAAGCGAGAGAGAGAATAAATGAAGAGGAAAGAAGGAAAAGGTCAAAAGTGAAGGGTGGGAGGAGAAAGGGGAAACGATAAAGGAAAGAGAGAGAATAAATGAAGAGGAAAGAAGGAAAAGCGTCAAAAGTGAAGGGTGGGAGGAGAAAGAGGAAACGATAAAGCGAAAGAGAGAGAATAAATGAAGAGGAAAGAAGGAAAAGCGTCAAAAGTGAAGGGTGGGAGGAGAAAGGGGAAACGATAAAGCGAAAGAGAGAGAATAAATGAAGAGTAAAGAAGAAAAAGCCTAAAAATGAATAGTGGGAGGAGAAAGAGGAAACGATAAAGCGAAAGAGAGAGAATAAATGAAGAGGAAAGAAGAAAAGCCTAAAAAATGAATGGTGGGAGGAGAAAGAGGAAAACGATAAAGGAAAGAGAGAGAATAAATGAAGAGGAAAGAAGAAAAGCCTAAAATGAATGGTGGGAGGAGAAAGAGGAAACGATAAAGGAAAGAGAGAGAATAAATGAAGAGGAAAGAAGAAAAGCCTAAAAAATGAATGGTGGGAGGAGAAAGAGGAAACGATAAAGGAAAGAGAGAGAATAAATGAAGAGGAAAGAAGGAAAAACGTCAAAAGTGAAGGGGTGGAGGAGAAAGAGGAAACGATAAAGCGAAAGAGAGAGAATAAATGAAGAGGAAAGAAGGAAAAGCGTCAAAAGTGAAGGGTGAGAGGAGAATGAGGAAACGATAAAGCGAAAGAGAGAGAGAGAATAAATGAAGAGGAAAGAAGGAAAAGCGTCAAAAGTGAAGGGTGGGGGGAAAAAGAGGAAACGATAAAGCGAAAGAGAGAGAATAAATGATGAGGAAAGAAGAAAAAGCCTAAAAATGAATGGTGGGAGGAGAAAGAGGAAACGATAAAGCGAAAGAGAGAGAATAAATGAAGAGGAAAGAAGAAAAAGCCTAAAAATGAATGGTGGGAGGAGAAAGAGGAAACGATAAAGCGAAAGAGAGAGAATAAATGAAGAGGAAAGAAGAAAAAGCCTAAAAATGAATGGTGGGAGGAGAAAGAGGAAACGATAAAGGAAAGAGAGAGAATAAATGAAGAGGAAAGAAGGAAAAGCGTCAAAAGTGAAGGGGTGGGAGGAGAAAGTGGAAACGATAAAGGAAAGAGAGAATAAATGAAGAGGAAAGAAGGAAAAGCGTCAAAAGTGAAGGGTGGGGAGGAGAAAGAGGAAAGGATAAAAGGAAATAGAGAGAATAAATGAAAAGGAAAGAAGGAAAGCGTCAAAAGTGAAGGGTGGGAGGAGAATGAGGAAACGATAAAAGCGAAAGAGAGAGAGAATAAAATGAAGAGGAAAGAAGGAAAAGGTCAAAAGTGAAGGGGTGGGGAAAAAAGAGGAAACGATAAAGGAAAGAGAGAGAATAAATGAAGAGGAAAGAAGGAAAAGCGTCAAAAGTGAAGGGTGGGAGGAGAAAGAGGAAACGATAAAGGAAAAGAGAGAGAATAAATGAAGAGGAAAGAAGGAAAAGCGTCAAAAGTGAAGGGTGGAGGAGAAAGAGGAAACGATAAAGCGAAAGAGAGAGAATAAATGAAGAGGAAAGAAGGAAAAGCGTCAAAAGTGAAGGGTGGGAGGAGAAAGAGGAAACGATAAAGCGAAAGAGAGAGAATAAATGAAGAGGAAAGAAGGAAAAGCGTCAAAAGTGAAGGGTGGGAGGAGAAAGAGGAAACGATAAAGCGAAAGAGAGAGAATAAATGAAGAGGAAAGAAGGAAAAAGTCAGGAAAAGTGAATGGTGGGAGGAGAAAGAAAAAAACGATAAAGCGAAAAGAGAGAGAATAAATGAAGAGGAAAGAAGGAAAAGCGTCAAAAGTGAAGGGTGGGAGGAGAAAGAGGAAACGATAAAGCGAAAGAGAGAGAATAAATAAAGAGGAAAGAAGGAAAAGCGTCAAAAGTGAAGGGTGGGAGGAGAAAGAGGAAACGATAAAGCGAAAGAGAGAGAATAAATGAAGAGGAAAGAAGGAAAAGCGTCAAAAGTGAATGGTGGAGGAGAAAAGCGGAAACGATAAAAGGAAAAGAGAGAATAAACAAAGAGGAAAGAAGGAAAAGGTCAAAAGTGAATGGTGGGAGGAGAAAGAGGAAACGATAAAGGAAAGAGAGAGAATAAATGAAGAGGAAAGAAGGAAAAGGTCAAAAGTGAATGGTGGGAGGAGAAAGAGGAAACGATAAAGAAAAAGAGAGAATAAATGAAGAGGAAAGAAGGAAAAGGTCAAAAGTGAAGGGTGGAGGAGAAAGAGGAAACGATAAAGGAAAGAGAGAGAATAAATGAAGAGGAAAGAAGGAAAAGGTCAAAAGTGAAGGTGGGAGGAGAAAGAGGAAACGAGAAAAAGGCGAAAGAGAGAGAATAAATGAAGAGGAAAGAAGGAAAAGCGTCAAAAGTGAATGGTGGGAGGAGAAAGAGGAAACGATAAAGCGAAAGAGAGAGAATAAATGAAGAGGAAAGAAGGAAAAGCGTCAAAATTGAAGGGTGGGAGGAGAAAGAGGAAACGATAAAGAGAAAGAGAGAGAATAAATGAAGAGGAAAGAAGGAAAAGCGTCAAAAGTGAAGGGTGGGAGGAGAAAGAGGAAACGATAAAGCGAAAGAGAGAGAATAAAATGAAGAGGAAAGAAGGAAAAAGCCAAAAAGTGAATGGTGGGGAGGAGAAAAGGAAACGATAAAGCGAAAAGAGAGAGAATAAATGAAGAGGAAAGAAGGAAAAGGTCAAAAGTGAATGGTGGGAGGAGAAAGAGGAAACGATAAAGGAAAGAGAGAGAATAAATGAAGAGGAAAAGAAGGAAAAGCGTCAAAAGTGAAGGGTGGGAGGAGAAAGAGGAACGATAAAGGAAAGAGAGAGAATAAATGAAGAGGAAAGAAGGAAAAGCGTCAAAAGTGAATGGTGGGAGGAGAAAGAGGAAATGATAAAGGAAAGAGAGAGAATAAATGAAGAGGAAAGAAGGAAAAGCGTCAAAAGTGAATGGTGGGAGGAGAAAGAGGAAACGATAAAGCGAAAGAGAGAGAATAAATGAAGAGGAAAGAAGGAAAAGCGTCAAAAGTGAAGGGTGGGAGGAGAAAGAGGAAACGATAAAGCGAAAGAGAGAGAATAAATGAAGAGGAAAGAAGGAAAAGCGTCAAAAGTGAAGGGTGGAGGAGAAAAGGAAACGATAAAGAAGGAAAAAAGAGAGAATAAATGAAGAGGAAAGAAGGAAAAGGTCAAAAGTGAAGGGGTGGGAGGAGAAAGAGGAAACGATAAAGAGAAAAGAGAGAATAAATGAAGAGGAAAGAAGGAAAAGAGTCAAAAGTGAAGGGTGGAGGAGAAAGAGGAAACGATAAAGCGAAAGAGAGAGAATAAATGAAGAGGAAAGAAGGAAAAGCGTCAAAAAAAGTGAAGGGGTGGAGGAGAAAGAGGAAACGATAAAGGAAAGAGAGAGAATAAATGAAGAGGAAAGAAGGAAAAGGTCAAAAGTGAAGGGTGGAGGAGAAAGAGGAAACGATAAAGGAAAGAGAGAGAATAAATTAAGAGGAAAGAAGGAAAAGGTCAAAAGTGAAGTGTGGAGGAGAAAGGAAACGATAAAGGAAAGAGAGAGAATAAATGAAGAGGAAAGAAGGAAAAGCGTCAAAAGTGAATGGTGGGAGGAGAAAGAGGAAACGATAAAGCGAAAGAGAGAGAATAAATGAAGAGGAAAGAAGGAAAAGCGTCAAAAGTGAAGGGTGGAGAGAAAGAGGAAATGATAAAGGAAAGAGAGAGAATAAATAAAGAGGAAAGAAGGAAAAGGTCAAAAGTGAAGGGTGGGAGGAGAAAGAGGAAACGATAAAGCGAAAAGAGAGAGAATAAATGAAGAGGAAAGAAGGAAAAGCGTCAAAAGTGAATGGAGGGAGGAGAAATGGAAACGATAAAGAGAAAGAGAGAGAATAAATGAAGAGGAAAGAAGGAAAAGCGTCAAAAGTGAAGGGGTGGGAGGAGAAAGAGGAAACGATAAAGGAAAGAGAGAGAATAAATGAAGAGGAAAGAAGGAAAAGCGTCAAAAGTGAATGGTGGGAGGAGAAAGCGGAAACGATAAAGCGAAAGAGAGAGAATAAATGAAGAGGAAAGAAGGAAAAGCGTCAAAAGTGAATGGTGGGAGGAGAAAGAGGAAACGATAAAGCGAAAGAGAGAGAATAAATGAAGAGGAAAGAAGGAAAAGCGTCAAAAGTGAAGGGTGGGAGGAGAAAGAGGAACGATAAAGGAAAGAGAGAGAATAAATGAAGAGGAAAGAAGGAAAAGGTCAAAAGTGAATGGTGGGAGGAGAAAGAGGAAACGATAAAGCGAAAGAGAGAGAATAAATGAAGAGGAAAGAAGGAAAAGCGTCAAAAGTGAAGGAGGGAGGAGAAAGAGGAAACGATAAAGGAAAGAGAGAGAATAAATGAAGAGGAAAGAAGGAAAAGGCAAAAGTGAAGGGTGGGGAGGAGAAAGAGGAAACGATAAAGCGAAAGAGAGAGAATAAATGAAGAGGAAAGAAGGAAAAGCGTCAAAAAGTGAAGGGTGGGAGGAGAAAGGGAAACGATAAAGGAAAGAGAGAGAATGAAGAGGAAAGAAGGAAAAGGTCAAAAGTGAAGGGTGGAGGAGAAAGAGGAAACGATAAAGAGAAAGAGAGAGAATAAATGAAGAGGAAAGAAGGAAAAGAGTCAAAAAGAAGGGGGGAGGAGAAAGAGGAAACGATAAAGGAAAAGAGAGAATAAATGAAGAGGAAAGAAGGAAAAAGTCAAAAGTGAAGGGGAGGAGAAAGAGAAACGATAAAGCGAAAAGAGAGAATAAATGAAGAGGAAAGAAGGAAAAGGTCAAAAGTGAAGGGGGGAGGAGAAAGAGGAAACGATAAAGCGAAAGAGAGAGAATAAATTAAGAGGAAAGAAGGAAAAGAGTCAAAAGTGAAGTGGGGAGGAGAAAGTGAAACGATAAAAAGAAAGAGAGAATAAATGAAGAGGAAAGAAGGAAAAGGTCAAAAGTGAATGGTGGGAGGAGAAAGAGGAAACGATAAAGGAAAGAGAGAGAATAAATGAAGAGGAAAGAAGGAAAAGGTCAAAAGTGAAGGGTGGAGGAGAAAGAGGAAACGATAAAGAGAAAGAGAGAGAATAAATGAAGAGGAAAGAAGGAAAGGGTCAAAAGTGAAGGGTGGGAGGAGAAAGAGGAAACGATAAAGCGAAAGAGAGACAATAAATGAAGAGGAAAGAAGGAAAAGGTCAAAAAGTGAAGGGTGGGAGGAGAAAGAGGAAACGATAAAGGAAAGAGAGAGAATAAATGAAGAGGAAAGAAGGAAAAGCGTCAAAAGTGAAGGTGGGAGGAGAAAGAGGAAACGATAAAGCGAAAGAGAGAGAATAAATGAAGAGGAAAGAAGGAAAATGTCAAAAGTGAAGGGTGGGAGGAGAAAGTGGAAACGATAAAGCGAAAAGAGAGAATAAAATGAAGAGGAAAGAAGGAAAAGCGTCAAAAGTGAATGGTGGGAGGAGAAAGAGGAAACGATAAAGGAAAGAGAGAGAATAAATGAAGAGGAAAGAAGGAAAAGCGAAAAGTGAAGGGTGGGAGGAGAAAGAGGAAACGATAAAGGAAAGAGGGAGAATAAATGAAGAGGAAAGAAGGAAAAGGTCAAAAGTGAAGGGTGGGAGGAGAAAGAGGAAACGATAAAGGAAAGAGAGAGAATAAATGAAGAGGAAAGAAGGAAAAGGTCAAAAGTGAAGGGTGGAGGAGAAAGGAAACGATAAAGGAAAGAGAGAGAATAAATGAAGAGGAAAGAAGGAAAAGGTCAAAAGTGAATGGTGTGAGGAGAAAGGAAACGATAAAGGAAAGAGAGAGAATAAATGAAGAGGAAAGAAGGAAAAGGTCAAAAGTGAATGGTGGGAGGAGAAAGAGGAAACGATAAAGGAAAGAGAGAGAATAAATGAAGAGGAAAGAAGGAAAAGCGTCAAAAGTGAAGGGGGGAGGAGAAAGAGGAAACGATAAAGGAAAGAGAGAGAATAAATGAAGAGGAAAGAAGGAAAAGGTCAAAAGTGAAGGGTGGGAGGAGAAAGAGGAAACGAGAAAAAAGCGAAAGAGAGAGAATAAATGAAGAGGAAAGAAGGAAACCTAAAAAAATGAAGGGTAGGAGTAGAAACACAGGAAAGAATAAAAGAATGAGAAGGAAGAAAAGAAGGCGCAGAAATTGAAGGGTAGCAGGAGACAGAAATATAAAACTTTAAAAAAATCGAAATAATAAGAAGAGGGGGAAGAAGAGAAAGTGTGAAAACTGAAAAGTGGGAGGAGAAGCAGAACGCGGTAACGTTACAGGAAAAACGTGAGAATAAGAGAAGGATGAAGAAGAGAGTGTAACAACTTAAATTATGGTGGACGGAGAATCAGAAAATGGAAGGAAGAGAATCGTTAGGATCGAAGACAAGAAGACCAAATATAATAAAAACATATTTTTTGAGTGATTGATTTGTTTTTTTACGGCTTATCAACCTTTTGCCTGTTATTATAAAGCCAGAAAATAGTTTGCAATTGTTTGAATTTAATGGAGGTAATATGATTTACTGATACAAGTCCCAATAACTAACCCATAGTTGGAGGGAGAAAAGGTGGTCTCCTACCATTCCCAAGGCTATTTGCTCGCAAGTGAATATATCGAACCTTACTAGAAATGGAACTCGGCCCACCGATTAACAATCCCGAGTCGTTATCCCTTACACCACCCGCACATCCGTGCTTACAGCAGCTGATATTCCCAAGCGGTCACCCATCTATGTACTGACCAAGAATGGGCGTTGATTAATTTCTTAGACTTTATTTAAAAAATGGAGAAATAGCAAATAGGAGTGAAAAAGAAATAATGACAGGAATTCTAAACGTGGAGAATAGGATGAAATATAAATAAGATGGAGAAAGGAAAAGGAATAGAGAATAAAGAAATTTTTTATGAGGGAAGGAAGAAGTGTGCAAGGTGTAGGGAGAGGGGGAAATAGAAGAGAGTGAGACGTCATAGGTAAATTGTCCAAAGAGAAGTGAAAATATGAAAGAGGAGAGAGGTATAGATAAAAAAAAAAGAAAAAGAGAAATTAAACTGAAAGCAGGTAATGCAAGCAAGTTTGAGATAAAAGATGAACGGAAAAAAGAAAGGCGAAAAAGTAAAGTAAAGAAAAAAAACATATATATATGAAGGGCGGGGAAGAAGAAAATACTTGGAAATCAAAGGGAGATAAATAAAATACAAAGAAAGAAGGAAAGAAAGAAAGAAAGAAAGAAAGAAAGAAAGAAAGAAAGAAAGAAAGAAAGAAAGATAGCTAGCTAGCTAGCTAGATAGATAGATAGAGGAGGAGATATAGGAAGAAGCGTAAAAATATTATGGATTCACTGGAATCTAGTTAGCAGAAGAGGAGAGGACGTTTAATGAGTGAAGTGGGTCAAGGAAAGAAGGTGGAAGTGTAAAGGGTTTGAGAGGAGAGAAAGTGTGTGTGAGTCAGTGAGAGAGAGAGAGAGAGAGAGAGAGAGAGGAACGAGTAGAAGATTGAAATATTTTGGAGGAGAGATGAGGAAACGAAAAGAAATAAAAAGTTGTAAGACGAAAAGTAATAAAAGTAAGTAAAATGGAAAATAGCTGAGAAAAAGAAAGAAAGAAAGAAAGAGAGAGAGAGAGAGAGAGAGAGAGAGAGAGAGAGGGTCAATGGTAGGAAGACGAAAAGTAACAAAGATATAGAAGAGAATGAATCCGAAATAAAAGAAAAAAAGAAAGAAAGAATAAATACTGGATACGAAGGAAAGTGGGTCTGATGAATGAAGCTGAAATGAAATGAAAAAAAACAAAAAACAAACAAAAAAACAAACAAACAAAAAAACAAAAAGGAAATAATACTGGATCTAAAGGGTGGTGGGTTTACTTAATGAAATTGGAATAAAAGAAAATTGAAGAAAGAGAAAAAGATAGAATTGTAAAGGGTGTAGAAAGAAAGAAACAACAAATGGAGAAAAGAAAGAAAGAAAGAAAGATAGAAGGATAGAAAGAAAGAAAGAAAAAAGAAAGATAGAAAGAAAAAAGAAAGATAGAAAGAAAGAAAGAAAGATAGAAAGAAAGAAAGAAAGAAAGAAAGAAAGAAAGAAAGAAAGAATATTATCGTAATATATACGCACATAGATGGGAGAAGAAAAGAAAAAAGGAGATAAATAAAATACAGAAATAAATAATACGTGAAAAGAAAGAAAGAAAGAAAGAAAAAAGAAAGAAAGAAGTAAAGCAAGAAAGAAAGGGAAAAGAAAACAAATTGAATAAAATTAAAGAACATAAATCAAAGAAAGAAAGAAAGAAAGAAAGAAGTAAAGCAAGAAAGAAAGAAAGAAAAACTAAAATCTTGCATCAGGAAAGGAAAAAACTAAAATATCGGCAATAAATAAAAGAAGAATAAATAGAGAAGTTGAAAAAAAGAAACGAACGAAGAAAGAAGGAAACAAAGAAAGAAACAATAAAAGAGCAAGAATAATGAAGCGAACATTCTAAGGAGAAGATATAAAAGCATAGGAAATCGAAAGTTAGATAAAAAGAGAATGAAAAAAGGAAAGAGAGTAATGAGATTGAAAAGCGATAACGAATGAAGGAGGGACAAGAAAAGAAAGAAAAAGAAGGATGCAGAAGAAATCAGGACAGATAGAAAGAAAGACGAACCTACGAGGAAATGTAAGAAAGACAAACCCTCGACATTTCGCATAAACATAAAGCAATGAAAATGGTAAGGAATCGAAACACCCAATCAAGACATTAATAGACAAACGGATCATCAGTCGAACCAGCAACGTCAATGACGAGGGAGAAAAGCAACAACATTCGACACGAAAGAATAAAGAAAAAAAAAACAACCATGAGAAAATAATCCATACTTGGCGCCTCATGGATATGACTGGTTTTTAAAAGCTTCTAATTGCATTAAATAAGCCTGGACTGTCTTTTACTCGATGTTAATATCTTAGTCAAAAGCCAGGGTCAATCTCTGACTAACACCTCCATTTTCTAGCGCAGTTTTTCTCTGTCTGTCTGCATATCTATCTATCTATCTATCTATCTATCTATCTATCTATCTATCTATCTATCTATCTAGCCAGTTAGCTAGCTAGCTTTCTCTCTCTAGTTATTGTATAGCTGGCCACTCATATTCGAGAATACCCGTCTACTAGAGCGGCTAGCCAATCCCGATTGCAGTCGCTTGCTCGGGCGAACTTGTGCTTATTCAACACCCACTGAGCCCACCTGTGGTTTATACTGCAGCTCTGCTGAGCAGACCTTAGTTACAGTTTATCGGAAAGAAACGTGTTATCTAGCGTGATCAACAATTTGAACAAGGCCAGAACGTTCAAGCCTTCGGCCACGGGGCTTGGGTCAGCCCGTGGTGTGGTTTATAGGGACTTTCCAATGACAAGACACGCTTGCTAAACATTACACCACCTTCCGTACGCTGGGATCGATCCCTCCAGTCCGATACCACCAGGAAATCTCCTTCCTGACAAATCAACCCGAGTCTCATGGTCAGATTGTGAACGTTCTAACTACGCGGCGACGCGCCAATCTGTCTGTCTGTCTGTCTGTCTGTCTGTCATGTATATATATATATATATATATATATATATATATATATATATATATATATATATATATATATATATAATATTAAATAGAACACAGTGAGTATATATATATATATATATATAATATTAAATAGAAACAGTATGAGTATATATATATATATATATATATATATATATATATATATATATAATATTAAATAGAACACAGTGAGTATAGATATATATATAATATTAAATAGAATACAGTGATATATATATATATATATATATATATATATAATATTAAATAGAACACAGTGAGTATATATATATATATATATATATATATATATAGAAATATTAAATAGAATATATATATATATATATATATATATATATATATATTATATATAAATATATATATATATATATATATATATATATATATATATATATATAATAAAAAATAGAACAGAGTGTGTACTAGTGGTAATAAAACAGTGCAAAACTTTCTACTGCAACTATGCATTTCTTTCTCGCCGTTTGTTGCAACTCTGACATTCGTGCACATGGCAGTCGAAAATTTGAGCGCAGTAATATGTCGATATACATAACCAACTGTTGATTTTCTAAGCGTAGCTTAAATGTGGCACAAGGCATCCAGTGAGGATCGAACTCACTATTCAGTCGTAATTGATGTAGCAAGACAAGCTTGCTAAACATTACACCACGTCGAAGTGCCCAATGATTTTCTAAGTGTAGCTTAGATGTGGCACAAGGTCGAAAATATGGAGCACCAAATGAGGTTTGAACTCACTACTCAGCCGTAATTGATCTATCAAAACACTCATTACACCACGTCTATCAAGACAACCGTTACACCACATCAAAATCCCTCGACGTCGGTGTAATCGTTAACAAACTTGTCTCGCTCGATCAGCTACTATTTTCATAGTTATAACAGCTGTCAGCCGATATATTTCCCAGCCTTCTTTACGTTTAATTGTGCTTTTGGGAATGTTAGTGCTGTTTAATATTCTTGGTTTCTAATATTCGTTATCTCTGAAACTGACGCAATTTACAGATCCGAGGGCTAAATCTAAAATCATCAAAGAGGAATTGATAAAATAATAATTATTAGCATTTAAAGCAAATTGTATGTTGCATTTAAGGGAAATCTTAACAGTTTCTTTCTTCCAATCATCAGGTATGGCTTATCTGAAGGCGTATTAATCAGTTTTATTTTGCCCACCTGTGACTCTTTTCTATATGGTACTAATTTCCACACTTGGCCTTTCTCTTTGGTTCTTTTCTTTATTTATTTTTTCTGGTTTGGTTTGGTTTGTTTTACGGCAATATCAACCTCAAAGGGTTATTTAATGCCAACGAGTTTTTATTGCCGGTAATATTTTTTTCCAAAAATTATTTCTGGTAATATTTTTTTCCCCAAAATGTATTACTGGTAATATTTTTTTATTCGAAAATATATTAGTATTAAAATCTATTTTTACACATTTGAGGGTTAAGTATTTGCCCATAGCGCTACCACCCCAGGTCAGGGGGAACCTGGGAACACCAGCAATTAAGAGGTGGTTCCACGCTCCTCAAAACCTCCCATTCAGAGGCCTTGCTGCCGGATGTAGTCTATCGTCATACCAAGGACGCTAGTTTTTTGGTGTCACGTCCCATCAGAAATTGTAGCTCTCCACAGATTCCCTTTCTTTATTATCTTTAACTTTTCCTGACTTTTAGGTTAAAGGGCGGTTTTTACCGATGATTATCCTGTTTTGAACTCAAACTGTTCATCTACGAAACTGGATGCCACTCAATGTTAAATAGCACGATCAAACCTGACATTGAATTACGTCAGAAGTTTTGATTCGCCATTACTATGGTGTTTAAAGAGAATATTTATTTTGTAAAAATTGCAATATTGTGGCACAATGCCGAAGGGGCAGTAAGGAAATGTCTGGTCTTCATTGACTATCACGACCCATTCATTCAACATAACATAGTCAATCACCACAAGAGCTTGTCCATCACCTCCCAACATGTATCATAATACCACATATTCACAAGGGACCTACAAAATACGCCATGATGTAAAAATTTATGATGTTCATAAAGTCTCTTTACAAAAATATACAAAAATTTCATGAAACATGAAATGACGGGGAAGAGGAGATGAACCCAGACAACAAACGCAAAACGTAAACCAAAGATAAAACTAAAACAAAACAATATTAGGAGGGAAAAAAGAGTGAGTAATGTATAAGAAACTCAAGAGATAGAATTAATAAAGTGATAGGTTAATCTGAAATTAGAATGATAGATCTATATTAGATATATATTAGTTATAAATATACCAAAGGTTCTTTAACAAGCATCATTTTTTATTTTAAATCCATATCCCTTCAAGACGCAGGCGATCATGACACTTCATAGATACCTTTTTTTATTGTCTATGAATTAACATGACAATGGCTCTCCAATGTTTTGAATTCAGTGTTGTCAGTTTAAAATGGCTGCCGCTCAAGTTTTCGGAGATCAGTCTGTCCCAGGGTTAGCCAAACTTGTATAATGTAAAAACCACATACGATAAAATTCCGATGTCTGAGAGCCGCAAGACGTAAACAAAATTTACACATACGTTTTTGTTACATACACATTATCATTAAACATGTTTTAATCTAATGCGGCTTCAATTCATACCCAGCAGATAATTATAATGCTTGAAATTTTTCTTATTTATCTTTTATATTAACTGTGATGGAAAAAAGGAGCTCAGCCAACATATTTCCACGAGCCGCATATTAAACATGTGGCTCGCCAGCCGCAGTTTGACCAGGGCTGGTCTATCCTAACATTAGACTAGGTAAATGAAATGATTAGATTTCGATATTAAGAAAATGGCCAATGATTGATATGAGGACTGAAGAATTTTAAATAAGCAAGGTTTCAATTGCTAACTGGAGTAGTTTAAGCTTTTTACTACAAACATACACAATTTTTTGTCAAACATAACATGTTTAAAATGCTATAATTCTCCTCTGAGTAGTCGATCATATCTTTCCACAGATACTCACAAGCAAATACTTTTGAGAGAATAATAAATCCATATCTTATCCCAGTTGTTGTTTAAATATGAGGACTTGTAAAATTTTAACCGAATTTACCCCAAGCAAGGCAGTAAACTCACCCCGCCCAAAAAAAGAGGTTACTGAGTGTAAACGAATTAGAAAACAGAAACATTATTAAGGAGTGAAAACAATAGAAGAGTAATCAGGAAAACAGTACATGTCGATTGAGAATGCATTTAAATTTTTGAAGATTAAAGTTGGCTGGAAAGCATGGAACCGGAAGAGAGTTCCACAAGAGATAAGTTGCCTTGATCTATCCACTACCCTTCTCCTCATCCTTTCTTCTATCACTCCTATCTGATCTTGCTCCAAGTCTTCTGTAACCTCTTGCGCCCTAGTGGCTTCCTGCCTTGCTTGGGGTGAAACGCTTAAAAAAGTGCGAGAAAAGAAACTGTTAGCATAGAACTTACGGTTACATCTAGCCAGTTCAACTGTAAAGTGATGAGACTTTGCCTACAATCTAGTACTGCGCTTAAATTCATAAAATCTAGGTACTATATTGAAGAGCTTATCCGAAAAATTGCCATGAAAGTATTTATAAAAAAGGCAAAGAAACACCGGCCGTAGAAAGTGAGTGAAGCCGAGGGCCAATAATATTTGCTGATTCTTTCCTGGATTTTATCAAGAATCTCTAAATATATATCATCGGTACCGACCATATGTGGCAGCAATATTCAAAGCATGAATGAATTGTAGACATATTGGTATGCAAGATAGATTCTGGAAAGAAAATGTGTCTAACATGACACAGTGAACAAACATTCTTAGCAATCTGGAAAAATCATTATCTCTCTAAAATTGTGTATACAATATTCATTATCCAAAAAAGAAATAAATACTGTATATACTATTGTATATACCTACTTCATGTATAGGGTGAGATGTGTAAATTGTCACCATTTTATATTTTGAATTTGGCGCATGCGCGTTGTTTATTTTGGATTTTGTCGACTGCACTTTATAGTAAGGTCAGTTAGGCTTCGTCTGTGAGAAAAAAAAGCACCATGACGCAATTCACTCTGCCGGAAATTTGGAAACGGCATGTTGTACTGTTTGATATTCGCGCCGGAAGCTCCATTACGAACATTTCAAAGTGTTCGGGTGTGGATCTGAGGACAGTGCTGAGGATTCGGAAAGAGCTGGATGAGTTTAATGGTGATTACGAAGGTGTTTGGAGTGATCACTATTAATGGCGACGTTATGCCTCCATAATTGCCTTGAAGTGGCAGTGCTGCCCTAAGTCAAGTGGGTGGCTGCTGGAAGACCCTATATCTGGCAACAAGGCCCTGCATCATACCACACAAGCAGAAGAACCCAGCCATAGTTGTCAGACAATTTCTGTGACCACATCACCGCTTACATCTGGCCACCTAACTCCCCAGAATGAAACTCCCTTGAGGTGTGGGGCGCAGTTAAAAAAGAGACCAAATAAACTCCTTGTAACACAGATGAACTGAAGATAAGGATTATGGCAGCATTCACCAACTTAAACAAGGAGACAGTCCAGAAAAGCTGCAGGCGTTTCCCAAGTCTGGAGGCCGTCGTTGAATCAAGTAGCGATTTTATTAAATAGATTTACTCATTAGTATTTCAAGACATTTTTGTGCAATTTTGGTAAATATATCTGTTAAAATGAGGTGTCAGTGCTATTTTCATTTTTGTGCAATTTAGATGACAATTTATCCATCGCAACCGGTATAGTTCGAACCCTGATTTTTTTTCTGTCTTGAAAGACCCGGTTTCTTTAATATAGCTCGTCTATAATGCAATATCAGCATCTGATCAATACTAGACCTACCGTAATCAACTATTTCAGTACTGGGAATCATCCTTGACATATATTATAGCAAGCTTCCCCAGAATAGTGAAAAAAAAAAAAACAAACAAACAAAAAAAAAACATTTACAATAAAATATCTTATACGATTTTAACCCCTGCAGAAAAAAAGTATAAGTACAACCAGTCACGGAAAATACATGATTTTTAACCTCTTAAAAAAATATGTGGATATTGTGACCCTTTATGTTTTGCGTTAAAAAGCTGATCACAAAAACACGCACTGTACGATAATTCTTACAATACATAAAATGTCTTTCTAAATATAATGAATAATATTTGAGCATTTAGTTTTAAAGATCGTCTAAAATACAGAAATACATAATTTCATTGTATGTTGCTTAATGCTATTAAGACCAAGCAGCCATCCCCTTCCTTTACACAGGGAATTCTACGACTTCAAAATTTTACTATTTCAAGAATAAAACCAAATAAAGTTGATGTCTTTTGCCTTAGATACATTGAATGGAAATATATATTCAAACCAGAATTCTAATTATGAATCACCACAAGCAAAATATGCAATTGTTTTTACTATATTCGATAAGTAAAAACTGTTTAAATGTAAAAGATTACACAAACGGCTATTCAATGAATAAAATTTGGTAGATTGTTTAATAGATCATTTGATAGATTATAATTAATAAAAATAGATAAATGTTTATATAACACGTTATAACTGCTGGGCACAAAATCTTTTAAATTTGCATTCTTTATTGAAATTCACACTAAAACTACAGCCCTGTATAACATCTTACATCATAATTTAAAAAAATTGTTCAGTATAATTTCCCTTTGAAGTAAATAAAGGTCCTATTTGAAGGCAAAATGATTTATTAATAATGTACTTGTGGCATGCATTTTGTCCGTATAGAGTTTGTAAAGCTTCAGTAAATTATTAATTTTGTGCTATAAGGTTTACACTAATCACCGGAATGAAATTGCAACGCTTCGGTTTTGAAGCTAAACCTTATGTTTAACCGCATTTCTTCTTCTTCTTCTTCAAAAAAAAAAAAAAAAAAAAAAAAAAACGTAATGATTTGGGAAAAATATTTTGTGTCGTTATTTATCATGTGAAACACCAACTTTCAAATTGAGTGCAATACCCGTCTTCTAAAATCAACCTGCCCTAAGATACACGTACATCGATATATAATCCATAAAAGATATTTCTGGTTTGAATAACCCACAGACGGCTGATAAACTGTAAAAATAAATCAATAAAAAAAATTTAAAAAATGTACAGATTCCCTTTTTTATTATCTGTAACTTGCAGTGACATCTTGGGAAAGATACTTAAGCGATTATTCGTTGCGTTCTTTATGGTTTTGAATTCAGAGCTGTTCATCACCTAGACGAATTGCAACCCAAGTCTAGTGAGTTCAGTTACATTGTTACTAAGCCTATATCGTGGGTTGGGCGTAGAGGTGACCCATTCATGCCTTTCCTGGGGTAATTTAGGCGAAATTTGATTCGGCCGGAATTCGAACTTGACTTACCAAATTCAATTTTCACGCCGATAAGCATAACACCAGCCGCACATACAACCTTCGGTTTACAGTTTTCTGCTGGTCGCCTTCACCTCGCGTACGATCCATTGTAGTTTTCTGTCTCATGATTCGACCTCATTCCAGACCGGACACTGCGCACCCTTTCCACCGTGTACAATCTACATCTCGTCGAGTTTCCTTATTATTGCGCCTGAAATGTTGATAAGACTGAAACTGCTTCAAAGATGGGACTGATGCAGAGAAAAGAGGGCGGTAATATGGAATGCAAGTGCCTGTATTTACGAAAGAAGTGTGTATGTAATTTGAAAGTCTGCTTCCAATTATAAGACGCTCGACTGGGAATGTGTAAACGTCAGATGGGGAAGAGAAAATACTAATTGATGAATGTCGTGAGGAATGGCGCTCCAGGAAACAGAAAGGAGAAGGAAAAGAGAAATCGAAAGAGAGGGGGTGACTAATTGGAAAGATGATGAGAAAAAGATTATATGTTGTGAGATATGAAGACAGACAGACAGACACACACACAGAGTTCAATAAATGGGTATAACCTGACTGATAAGGATTGCAACGTAGAAAGGTAATTAGAATGGTAGATATAGATAACGAATTGTGGTACAGGAGTAAGAACAGATAGATCGATATCTGCACATGTAAGGAATCTATCTATCTATCTATCTATCTATCTATCTATCTATCTATCTATTACAGTCTGTTCTTAGTGATCCTATCTATCTATCTATTATCTATCTGTATCTATCTATAGTGATCCTATTACAGTCTGTTCTAGTGATCCCATCTATCTATCTATCTATCTATCTATCTATCTATCTATCTATATCTGTTCTTATCTATTACAGTCTGTTCTTAGTGATCCCATCTATCATCTATCTATCATCTATCTATCTATTACAGTCTGTTCTTAGTGATCCCATCTATCTATCTATCTATCTATCTATCTATTACAGTCTGTTCTTAGTGATCTATCTATCTATCTATCTATCTATCTATCTATCTATCTATCTATTACAGTCTGTTCTTAGTGATCCTATCTATCTATCTATCTATCTATCTATCTATCTATCTATCTATCTATCTATCTATCTATTACAGTCTGTTCTTAGTGATCCCATTCATCATCTATCTATATCTATCTATCTATCATTATCTATCTATCTATCTATCTATTACAGTCTGTTCTTAGTGATCCATCTATCTATCTATCTATCTATCTATCTATCTATCTATCTATCTATTACAGTCTGTTCTTAGTGATCCTATCTATCTATCTATCTATCTATCTATCTATCTATCTATCTATCTATCTATCTATCTATTACAGTCTGTTCTTAGTGATCCTATCTATCTATCTATCTATCTATCTATCTATCTATCTATCTATTACAGTCTGTTCTTAGTGATCCCATTCATTCATCATTATATCTATCTATCTATCTATCTATCTATCTATCTATCTATCTATCTATCGATTACAGTCTGTTATAGTATCCCATTCATCTATCCATTCATTCATTCATCTATCATTCATCTATCTATTACAGTCTGTTCTTAGTCATCTATTCATTCATATCTATCTATTACAGTCTGTTCTTAGTGATCCTATCTATCTATTCATTCATCTATCTATCTATCTATCTATCTATCTATCTATCTATTACAGTCTGTTCTGATAGGGTGATTCATCTATCTATCTATCTATCTATCTATCTATCATTACAGTCTGTTCTTAGTGATCCTATCTATCTATCTATCTATCTATCTATCTATCTATTATCTATTCTGTTCTGTTCTTAGTGATCCCATCATTATCTATTCATCTATCTATCTATCTATCTATTATCTGTTCGTTCATCTATCTATATATCTATCTATCTATCTATCTATCTATCTATCTATTACAGTCTGTTCTTAGTGATCCCATTCATCTATCTATCTATCTATCTATTCATCATCTATCTATTCATATCTATCTATCTATTCATTCATCTGTTCTATGATCCCATTCATTATTCATATCTATTCATTATCTATCTATCTATCTATCTATCATCTATCTATCTATCTATCTATCTATAATATGATATATATCGATAGTATTCATTCATCTATCTATCTATCTATCTATCTATTCATTCATTCATCTATCTATCTATGATTATCATTCATCATATATCTATCTATCTATCTATCTATCTATCTATCTATCTATTATCTAGTATGTATAAGTATCCCATCTATCTATTCATCTATCTATATCTATCTATCTATCTATCTATCTATCTATTATCTATCTGTTCTTATCTATCTATTATTCATCTATCTATCATTATCTATTCATTCATCTATCTATCTATTCATTTATCTATCCCATATCTATCATTATCTATTCATTCTGTATTCATCATCTATCATTCATTCATATCTATCTATCTATCATATCTATCTATCTATCCATATATCTATCTATCTATTCATACAGTCATCTATCTATCCATCTGATCCCAGTCATTCATCTATCTATCCTATCTATTCATCTATCTATCTATCTATCTATCACTATCTATCTATCTATCTAGGTGATTCAGTCCATTCATTCATCATATCATCTATCTATTCATATCTATCTATCTATCTATATCTATCATCTAAGTCTGTTCATTAGTGATTCATCCATTCATTCATCTATCTATTTCATCTATCATTCATCTATCTATCTCATCTATCTATTCATTAGTGATATATATCATTCATATATCTATCTATTCATCTCATATATTCTTTCATCTATTCATTCATCTATCTATTATCTATCTATCATCTATCTATCTATATATTACAGTCTGTTCTTAGTGATCCCATTCATTCCATCTATCCATCTATTCATTCATATCTATCTATCTATCTATCTATTCATCTCATTACAGTCTGTTCTAGTGATATTCACATCTATATTATCTCATATCATTATCTATATATCTATCTATCTATATATCTATATATCTATTCATCTATCTATCTAGCGAGCTTACTTATATTATTTCAGTCTGCTTTTATCTATCCATCTAGCTATTAAACCATGTAGCTAGGTAGGATAATCTCAGTCTGCTTATAGTCTGTCTATATTATCTCAGAAAAGCTAGCTAGCTACCTAGCTTGTTATGTAGCTAGTTAAGTAAGTAGATAGCTAGCTATATTATCTCAGTCTCTATCTATTCATCTATCTATCTATCTATCTATCTATCTATCTATCTATCTAGAGGATAAAAACGTTGATCATTCCATGAAAAAGTCGCCCAAATGATGCCGAAATGAAAAGAAAAAAAAAGTGTTTTTGGTGGGAAGTTGTGAATGAAGGGAAGATAACAGAAAATTGGAAAACGTCGACGAGATTCTCCAAAGCAAATACATTAAAAAAAAAAAAAAAAGAGAAGAAAATGATGGAGATGATGTGGAGGTCACGTGGGTCGGACATGAAGATATTGTTTTAAAGTGGTAAAAGTTAGGGAAGACGGAATCCAATATGGCGGACAAGGGGAAGAGCCGAAAAGAAACAAACAAAAAAAAAACGCTCAGGCAAATTGAAATAGACATTGTCTGTGTAAAAAAAAAATGAAGCGACGAACGGGAGGAAGTAAAAAAGAAAGCGAGGAGAGAAACAGCCAAAGATCAAGGAGTCGGATTGAAACGGAAATAAAAACGAAAAAAAAAAAGAACTAAAAACAAGAAAACGTAATGGACTTAGATATAGGAGGGGGAGAGGGGTATCAGAAGGAGCTAAGAAGAGTAAGAATGGTTGTAAAGGAAGAAAATAATGATTGTCCATAAAAAAAATAAAAAAACACATAGGAGGAAAAAAGTTGGCGAATAAAAAAGGGATTATTGGTAAAAGTAGTATGATAAGAAATATTGTGGAGGGCAAAAGAAAAAAAAATGGGGAGAGATAGAGAGAGAGAGAGAGGATTTAAAAATGAGATTATGGGGAGAGTTTTTGGAAGTGAAAAGTAAAAGATAGACAACAGAGAAGAGAGATGAAAGAAGAGAGATGTTGGGCAAGGAAGGAAAACGAGAGAGTGGGTTGAGAAGAAAAGCAGAGATAAAAGGAATGAAGAGAAAAAGAGATAGTGGGGTGAGGAGGAGTAGTGAGAGTTTGGGGTGACGAGGAAAAAAGAGAGACTGTGGATGGTGACGAAAAAAGAGAGATGCGAGAAGAACAAGTCAGATAGAGAGATAATGAGAAAAAAAGAGAGGGAGAAGAGCGAAAACAACAATAGAAATTGAAGGGGTGGGGAGAAAAGAGATTGTTGTCGATGAAGAAAAATAAGAGAGAGTGATAATGAAGTAAAGTGAAGAGGAGAACGAAAGTGAAATAGAGAAGTTTTGAGGAAATGTAAAATAGTAGGTTGAGGAGGAAAAAAGAATGGCTAATATGGAAAAATGGGAGTGGGGTGAGGAGGAGAAAGTGAGATAGAGGAGTGAGGAGGAGGAAGGGAGATAGAGGAGTGAGGAGGAGAAAGTGAGATAGAGGAGTGAGGAGGAGGAAGGGAGATAGAGGAGTGAGGAGGAGAAAGTGAGATAGAGGAGTGAGGAGGAGGAAGGGAGATAGAGGAGTGAGGAGGAGAAAGTGAGATAGAGGAGTGAGGAGGAGGAAGGGAGAGGAGGAGGAGGAGGAGGAGAAGGGAGGAGATGGAGAGGAGGAGGAGGAGGAGGAAGGGAGAGAGGAGGAGGGAGGAGAAAGGGAGATAGAGGAGGAGGAGGAGGAAGGGAGGAGGAGGAGGAGGGGAGGTGAGGAGGAGAAAGAGAAGATGAGAGGGAGGAGGAGGGGAGGAGAAGGGGAGACAGAGGAGGAGGAGGAGGAAGGAGGAGATAGAGGAGGAGGAGAAAATGAGAGAGGAGAGGAGGAGGAAGGGAGATAGAGGAGGAGGGAGAAAGGGAGATAGAGGAGGGAGGAGGAGGAAGGAGATAGAGGAGGAGAAAGAGATAGATGATGAGGGGAGGAGGAGGGGGAAGGGGGAGGAGGAGGAGGAGAAGTGGGATAGAGGAGTGAGGAGGAGGAAGGGAGATAGAGGAGTGAGGATGAGGAAGGGAGATAGAGGAGTAAGGAGGAGGAAGGGAGATAGAGGAGAAAGGAAGAGAAAGTGAGATAGAGGAGTGAGGAGGAGGATGGGAGATAGAGGAGTGTGGAGGAGGAAGGGAGATAGAGGAGAGAGGAGGTGGAAGGGAGATAGAGAAGAAAGGAGGCGAAAGTGAGATAGAGGAGTGAAGAGGAGAAAGTGAGATAGAGGAGGAGAAAGTGAGATAGAGGAGTGAGGAGGAGAAAGTGAGATAGAGGAGTGAGGAGGAGAAAGTGGGATAGAGGAGTGAGGAGGAGAAAGTGGGATAGAGGAGTGAGTGGGAGAAAGTGGGATAGAGGAGTGAGGAGGAGAAAGTGAGATAGAGGAGTGAGGAGGAGAAAGTGAGATAGAGGAGTGAGGAGGAGGAAGGGAGATAGAGAAGTGAGTGGGAGAAAGTGGGATAGAGGAGTGAGGAGAATAAAGTGAGATAGAGGAGTGAGGAGGAGAAAGTGAGATGGAGGAGTGAGGCGGAGAAAGTGGGATAGAGGAGTGAGGAGGAGGAAGGGAGATAGAGGAGGAGAAAGTATGACCGTGGGATGAGGAGGTAAGAGAGCGAGAGTTGGGTTAGGAGAAAATTGAGATACTTAGATAAAAAAAAAAGATTAGTGGGGCAATGAGTAAAAAAGAGATAGTGTAGTGAAAGACAGATAGCATGTTGAGTGGGACAAAGTGAGGTAGTGGGATGAGGAGGAAAAAAAGAGATTGTCGTTTGTGGATGGCAAAGTGAGATAGTCGGATAAGGAGGAAAAAGAGAGATATTCAGTCGAGGGAGACAAATCGCGGTTGTGGGATGGGGAGGAAGAACAGTGATTGCCGCTTGAGATGTACAGACCGAGAGAGTGGATTGGGGAGAAAAAAGAGAGAGTGTCCTTTAAGGGGGCAAAGTGAGATAGTGGGATAAGGAGGAAAATTGAGATTGTCGGTTGAGGGGGACAAAGTGGGGTAGTGGGTTGAGAAGGAAAAAAGATTGCCCGTTAAGGTGGGAAGCAAAGCGAGATAGTGGGATAAGAAAGAAAAATAGAGATTGTCAGTTGAGGGGGGGACAAAGCAAGGTAGTGGGGTGAGGAGGAAAATAGAGATTGTCGGGTGAATGAGACAAAGCGAGGTAATGGGTTGGGGAGGAAAATGGAGTTTGTCCGTTAAGGGGGCAAAGCGAGATAGTGGGATAATAAAGAAAAATAAAGATTGTCATTTGAAGAGGACAAAGCAAGGTAGTGGGATGAGGAGGAAAAATAGAGATTGTCGGTTGAAGGGGATAAAGCGAGGTAATGGGTTGGGGAGGAAAATGGGGTTTGTCCGTTAAGGGGGCAAAACGAGATAGCGGGATAATAAAGAAAAATAGAGATTGTCAGTTGAGAGGGGACAAAGGAAGGTAGTGGGGTGAGAAGGAAAAATAGAGATTATCGGTTGAATGAGACAAAGCGAGGTAATGGGCTGGGGAGGAAAATGGGGTTTGTTCGTTAAGGGGGCAAAACGAGATAGCGGGATAATAAAGAAAAATAGAGATTGTCAGTTGAGAGGGGGGCAAAGCGAGCTAGTGGAATGAGGAGGAGAGAGAGAGATTGTCGGCTGATGGGGACAAAGCGAGGTAGTGGGATGAGGAAGAGAAAGAGAGATCGCCGATTGAGGGGGACAAAGAGAGATACTGGGCTGAAAAAGAAAGACTGACATCGTGCGGCGACGAGAAAAAGTGAGATTATCAGTTGAGGAGGAGAAAGTGAGGTAATAAAATGAAGAGAAAAAAATAGAGACTCTATAATAATAAGGAAAAAAGGAAGTACAGGCGTAAGGAGGAATAAAGTTAATAGGATGAGAAATAAAAATAGAGTTTGCGGGTGAGGAGGAAAATGAGTGGTGGTGAGGAGGTCGTAGTGAACTAGTAGGGGGAGGTGAGGAAAAAGAGAGATTGTATATTGATGAGGACATAATAAGGTTGTCAAAGGAGGAGTGAAAAGGGAGATATGGCGAGGAAAACGAGAGACTGGGAAGAGCAGAAATAAAATGGCAGTCATAACACTAAGATGGCCGAGGTGTCGTTTTCGACAACTTCAAATTTTCAACAAATTACTATGGAATAACTAGTTTTTGCCTGATGCTGAGGAAAAAACAATTATTGAAAAAAGCAAAGATGCTTAACAGACTTATATATCTTTAAGAAATATTCATGGAATAGCTGATATTTGAGGTTTTATTTTGAATGGCCGAGGTGTCGTTTTTGACACCTAGGCTATTTTATAGGGTAAATGCATTGAAATAATTTCTCACAAGTTCCAATACTTGTGTTTATGCCCTTTATCTATTTATCTATCTATACACACATTAAATTTATATATATATATATATATATATATATATATATATATATATATATATATATATATATTTATGTATATATGTATATATATATATATATATATATATATATATATATATATAAAAAAATATATATATATATATATATATAAATATATATATATAGTTATAATTAATTGATTTAAATATAGTTTTTTAGCAACACATTTTTAAATGAAGCTTCCATTTTTGAAACATGGTTAGAATTTGCAGCGAAAGAAACATATTTTAAATCAATTAATTTATAATATTCATTTTTGTAAATTTACATTGAGCACTATTTTGTATTTAAAAATATCTATAAGAACTTTTTGTATATAATTACTGTTCTTCCTTTATTTATATATATATATATATATATATATATATATATATATATATATATATATATATATATATATATATATATTCATTTCTTTCAGTATGAGGTATACTAATATTTTGAATTTCTTTTCAGACTTGTTATTCCTGACTTGAATATTGAATATATTACAAATGGCTGCTCCACGGCGTAATGTAAATAAAGATGTCAAAGGAGCTGGCTATCCTAGTGTTAAGAAGAGCAAGGGATCAAATTGTACAGGGAATGAGAAAACGACGGAACCGAGAAAGAATCAAAAATGAAAAGAGTTTGGAAAGAACAAATTATAGGGCAATACATTTAGCGACAAAATTTAGGAGAAAAAAGCAAACAGGAAAAGACGAGAAAAGACGATGTTGCAAAATAGAAAAATATGTTTAAAGACAGGGAGAGAATAAAAAAAAAACATTTTAAAGAAGATAGTGAATTAAAATGTACGAAAAGAAATTTCAAAGGAAATGAAAACTATCAATAAGAAAACACAATAAAAGAGAATGTCACATATTAAAATCTTTTATATACTTGATGTCTGAAGATACAGATAAGTATAGAGATAGTTTAGTAGAGACGCATAGACAGATTAGTATCCACAAACTAAATCTAATTCCAAGTACGATTGGAAGAGGCTTTGGGAGAGATCCCATAATAGTATGGCTTTTATGTTAGGTTGTCTTGCTGGACATATGCATAGAAAAATAGGAATAGATTATAACAGACAAATAGACAGACACACACGCACGCACATATATATAGATAAAGAGAGAGAGAAAGAAAGAGAGATATACGAATAGAGATAGATACGATTAGACTGTGATAGATGGATATGAATAGACTGAGATACATACATAGATGGATATGAACAGACTGAGATAGATAGATAAAGAGGTAGATAGGTAAATAAATAGATAGATAGAAAGAGAGATATGAAGAGACTGACAGAGATAGCTAGTTATGAACTGAGATAGATATAAACAGATTGTTTAAGATCGATCTATACATTCGTAGATAAAAAGATCAGTAATCATATATATTATATAAACACTGGCACATATGCACGCACACACACACACACACATACATGGAATATATATATATATATATATATATATATATATATATATATATAGATAGATAGATAGATAGATAGATAGATGGCAAAAATAGTTCTGAATTTCTTTTTTTACAAACTGGGATAGATATGAACTGATTTTTTTATTATATATATATATATATATATATATATATATATATAGAGAGAGAGAGAAAGAGAGAGAGAGAAAGAGAGAGAGACAGACAGACAGATAGAGAGAGGATAGGCAGGCAGCCATAGACATCTTTTGTCTGCAAAAGTAGGGGGAGACAGAAGAAATAAATTTTAAAAATTATAAATGGCAGTTCTTAGAAAAGTATTTCAGTGAGATTGTTTAAAGGAAGTACAATTAAAAAAAGTATATAGAAAAATCCGAGAAATGTTTAGTTAGGTAGGAAAATGGCATAAACAGATATAAGCGTCGACAAGAGACAGTTAAAAAGAGAGTCAGCCATTCACTGTGTCCTCATAGAAATCAATGTGCAGATGAACCTAGAATTACTCCTTCGAGAGTTGCCGCTATTTTTTATTCAAAGCTGGGATACATAGGTCTGCCTTAGAACCTAATATTGTTCGATGTTGTATTAGTTGTAACCGCCATGATGAAAGAAAAGTCGATGGTTTTTCTTGCGTTGTGTGAGACGGCGTTCAAGTTGGTGATGGTGGTAGCGATGGCTGCTGCCATCAGCTGTCATCTTTGTTGTTGTTGTTGCTGTTGTGATTGAGGTTACGAGGGTGAAACAATGGTAGATGAGGAAAGACAAAAAGATTGGGTGAAGCGGGAATGATGGAGAATGGTGTGTGGGAATTAAAAAAAGGTGGGAGCTGGGGGAATGGAGTTTTAAATGAAATAGCAGTAAAAACATTAGATGATCAAGAAGATGTAGATATATACTGCTGATGATGAAGAGGAAGAAAAGAAAAAGAAGAAGCAGAAGAAAAGAAGACGAAGAAGAAGAAGACAAAAGAAGAAGATGAAGAAAAGTGGAAGAAGTAGAAGAAGAAGAAGAAGAAAAGAATAAGAAGAAAAGAAGAAAAAGAAATAGAAGAGGAAGAAAAGAAAAGAAGAAAAGAAGAAGAAAATAGGATGTAGACGAAAATAATAAGAAGAATAAAGAGGTAGTTGAAAAAGAAAGAACAAGAAGAAAATGGAGGAAACAGAACGAAAAAATTAAGTAAAACAGGAAAAGAAGAAGACTAAAGGAAAAGAAACATGAAAAAGGGAAAAAAACAAGGAGACAAAGTATGAATGAATATAAAATATAAAACAGCAGCAGAACTGCCAGAAGAAGAAAAAGAAAAGTAGTAGTAGTAGTAGTAGTAGTAGTAGTAGAAAAGTAAAAGAAGAAGTAAAAGAAGAAAAGAAGTAGTAGTAGTAGAAAGGTAAAAGAAGAAGTAAAAGAAGAAAAGATATAGTAGTAGTAGTAGAAGAAAGGTAAAAGAAGAAGAAGTAAAAGAAGAAAAGAAGTAGTAGTAGTAGTAGTAGTAGAAAAGTAAAAGAAGAAAAGTAGTAGTAGTAGTAGTAGTAGAAAAGTAAAAGAAGAAGAAGTAAAAGAGGAAAAGAAGTAGTAGTAGTAGAAAAGTAAAAGAAGAAAAGTAGTAGTAGTAGTAGTAGTAGTAGAAAAGTAAAAGAAAAGTAAAAGAAGAAAAGTAGTAGTAGTAGTAGTAGTAGAAAAGTAAAAGAAGAAGTAAAAGAAGAAAAGTAGTAGTAGTAGTAGTAGTAGAAAAGTAAAAGAAGAAGTAAAAGAAGAAAAGTAGTAGTAGTAGTAGTAGTAGAAAAGTAAAAGAAGAAGAAGTAAAAGAAGAAAAGTAGTAGTAGTAGTAGAAAAGTAAAAGAAGAAGTAAAAGAAGAAAAGTAGTAGTAGTAGTAGTAGTAGAAAAGTAAAAGAAGAAGTAAAAGAAGAAAAGTAGTAGTAGTAGTAGTAGTAGAAGAAGATAAAGAAGAAGGGCTCGTCGAAGTGTTTTTCATTTCGTGGGTCTGTTCAGAACCGCCGCGGTCGTAGTTTGTGATATACACTACTGGAACCAAGACCGAATCTCTTTACTAACTGCCTGACTGTGCTCACATTCATTTTTTGGTCTCCATCAATGTTTCGAAAACGCAGATAAATATCAAATGGCACGATGGTTTTCTCCATGAGAGATTTCAATGAAACATTATTTCTTTGTTTCATGTCAAACGCCATTGTGTCAGACTACTAAAATTGGATAAACGGCATGATTAACAAGGCAACATTACCTTTCACGTATCATATTATATATTACCCACGTATCATATATATATATATATATATATATATATATATATATATATATATATTGTATTCGTACACGAAGCATAAACAAATCTTTAAGTAATTAATTTATTTTTAATACCGTATTATTATTATTATCATAACGTATGCTTTACCGTAAAGTGTTTTCTCAGATAAAACAATGTAATACGGTCGATTTCTCTCATGAGATAATTTTTCTTTAATATGACTTTCAATCTTCAAGCTGCTATCTATTTTTACAACAAAAAGTAGTTCAAAACCCAAAAAGAAATAGAAAGTCTCAAAAACGCATATTCCTGTACATAACGCATATGCATGCATCTATCTATCTATTTAACTCTCCCTTATATAAATGGTGGTACTCGCTTGGAAAAAACTTGGGTATTTCGGCTTGTAGTAGAATAAAACAGTACCCAAGGAAAAATGAGGAATAAAAAAAGAAAGAACCAAGAACATGAAACTGAGGGGAAAACAATCGTCCAGAGTTCAAGCCCAGAGTTCAAAGAATATATATATATATATAGTTCTAGGGATAGATAACTCAAACGATCAGATATAAGCAAGCGTATACCCGCTTGCTTGTGTGCATCCGCGGGCAAGCAGATAAATAATTATCAAATTTATACATGAGGTGTAAACATAATAATGCTCGATGTGGTTAAATAGAGAAAAGATATATATTAATTTGTATATATACATGACTTCGTATATATAAATAGACTATGTGCCAGACGAGCTGTAATCCAGCGAAACTTAAGTCGCGCACCAAAACGTAGGTATACATAAATTTACTAATTAATATTGCGTATATTTTGGCATCATGTTTTTTAATATATTCCTTTTTTCCTTTAATATATATAATTTAGAAAAAGTTTTGCCTATTCATTCTTAGGATCCTTTAATATTTACGGGCGAGTTTCTTAGTATACTTACTAAAGGAAGAAAGGAAATTGCCCTGTTGATGTATATCCATTTTATTCCCGAGTACTTTCGACGTTAGCATAATGTCATCGTCAGGGTCTAGTTTTTACTAAGACAAAATTGCTGTGTTAAACTGAAAATTATGATGAACGTTTTTCACTTTACAAGAGAAAAACGTTCATCTTCAGGATTTCGTTTTTGCTAAGATATATATATATATATATATATATATATATATATATATATATATATATATATATGCTTATCAAAAGCAAAACCTGAAGATCTGCGATTTTCACTTCATATATATATATATATATATATATATATATATATATATATATATATATATATATATATAATTCAAGACTCTGCTAATGGATTGAGTCCTCTCGATCACTGGCGTGTTTATTTCAAAATAAATATGCAAAAATTCTCATTCTTCTCCACCGGACTCTAATAGCATAAAAATGAATATATATATATATATATATATAATGCTGGCACTGCTACAAAATATAATTTTGTTCCTTACCGTTAGAACCATTCTGAGATACATGCAAGATGCAATCGTCATTTGCGCATTGAAAACAGATAATCAACCAGCGCCTGACGATTGTTCCTTTCATGGAATTCAAATTTATGCTACCGTTGAAGTATAAATTGTATATTCATATCATAAGTAGTGTAATATTTAAGTCTATTATTATATATCCAGTTCTGTTTCATTACCGGTAGAATTCACTCTATGATACTAAATATATATATATATATAATATATATATATATATATATATATATATATATATATATATATATATATATATATATGTTTGATCCCAATTCCAGCCTACTTAATATACTGTATAATGAAGATAAATTTTTGTATCTAAGTCGTTGTTCAATGTGAGAACATTTTCTCTTAAAAGGAAAGTAAAAAAAATTGCGTCTCAACAAAAGCAGTGAAAATGAATTGCAAGAAAGAAAGGAGAAAATATTTCAATAATAAAAGTTTGCTGTAAAATAAAAGAAAACTAAAAAAAAAAAACGAAAATAAGCATATAAATAAGTTCAGAAAAAAAAGAAAACATGTTCAATCTAAGAAGCAAAACATGAAATTTAGAGAAGAAAAAAATAAAATAATAAAAGACAAGAAAATTCGACTGTTTAATTAATTTTAGATCGACTTCAGTTGATAAGCATCTGACGCGGAATTTTCACGTGGATGGAATGTGTGCATTTTGCCATTGTAGACGCATTGTGCCGGTCTCCGTACGTGTAGATTAAAGTCTTTTTTATTTCTTCTTACTTTTTTTTTTTTTGTTGTTCTTTTCTTTTTTTTTGAGGTTCGGAAAGGAGGAATTACATAAGAAATCCTGACATGAAACATGGACACACAGTAACAGAGATTCTTGTTTAGGTTTGTGTCCATAAATAAACTATTTCTCCTTTTCTGTGTGGACAGGAGAGACATTCACAAAATAAATGAAATAAAGTTGATATATGTGCCTATCGATGTAGACTTATATATTCGTTAGTAAACCTGATATATATGGTTGATTTGAAAATATCTTTACTGAAATGAAAAAAAGAAAATATACGCATAAAAATATATATGTTTAATTAAAAAAAAAGATTAAATTGTTCCATGAAGCTTTGGTTTGTCCTGTTTAATTGCTTATTATGCTAGTAAAAAAAATTAAAGATTTCTTATTGTGAAGTGAAAAACGCTAAGGTTATGTACTGTACAATTTAAATTTCACTATATAAACGTCAGGGGCGGTATCTATCTATCTACCTATAGTTATCTCTCTCTCTCTCTCTCTCCATATATATATAGTTAAATGATGAAAAGTTTGGTAATCTGTATGGATAATCCCAAGGCGGATGTAATCCAGAGAGCTCAATGTCAAATCCGAGCAATTATTAATTCAATTTAAATAGAAAACAGACAACCTTAAGGGTCATTTGGTTACAATTTCTTTCCCCAGGTATGTGGTTTTTACCTGGTTCATGAGACCACACTGTTAAGGGTAAAAAAAAAAAAAATTCACCCTTGAAAGTGTGGTCTGATGAACGAGGTAAAAACAATATACCTGGGTAAAAAAATTATAACCAATGGATCCTTAAGGTTGTCTGTTTTCTATTTATATTTTCTTCATTCTTCAACATGTCGACCCTTATCATTTTTTTTTCTAAATGTTCACCCGATTCTTCTCTACTTTATGTGCCGCGGCTCGTCATTTCATAGGAGATCATGGTTCTCCACAACTTCCTATTCCTTGTAGCTCTTAATAAACTTTGTCTTTTATCTTTTCTAAGCCCTCTCCCGCTATCCAATTACTCAACCTCACTAAGTATTATCCGATGTTTTCCTCTTTCTCTCTTGCCCTCTATCTGTCCTGAGAGTACCAGATTTTCCAAGCCCTCTTTCCTTATTAGCTGCTCCAGAAACATCAACTGTCTCTTTCTGATGTTAAATATTAGT